AAGCATTATTCAGAAAAGGATGATTTTTAAATATTTTTATGGATAACACAGAAATCTTAAATTATAATAACAAAGATTTTAAAAAATTCCTAAATAAAATATTTAAAAAAATTGTTTGTTGATTTTATTATTATTATAAGCTACCTACTACATAAAACATTTTATTTTTATCAACTACAAATTTATAACCTATAAATTAATAAAAATTTGCATTCTGGCATATTTCACTAATATATTCCGAAGAGGTTGTATAATTTTTTACTGTCTTGCTCATAAATTTACGAACGCAAAATTTATTAAAAATCCAGCGGTGTTTTCCGCGTTCGCCTGGTTCCGGGTCCAGCTATAGGCTTAACCTTCGCTTATTTAAAAATATATATATAAAATATAATCACTTCCTCTAATCACGTTGTTCAACGTTATGTTCAAGTTAGCCTTGGAAAGCTGACCATACTCGTATGCACTTACAACAAGTGTGTATACGGCCGAACGCCATACTATTTATTATAGATGTTGCCACCTTTTAATTTCTTCACTATACATATTTAAAAAATAAAAACAATATACCTAATAGGAACCAAATTTTTAAAACACGTCAGTTTTTAAATTATTTAACGATTTTTTACAATGTTTTCCAATTATTAAGCAATCTATTTTAAAAATACTAAAAACATTGGCTAGGAATAAAAATATATGATTTCGTGTCTATGATTAATTAAAAACTTTATGTACTTTAAAAATGTAACTAATTCTAGCAATGTTTAAAATGTTTTTTTTTGTAAAAGTCTCAAAGAAAGGACAAGTTATACAATAGTATATTATGTAAAAAGTTTGATAAGGGGGCGAGCGAGCTTGCAAGCGAGTGCTTAAGTAAATGAGTGCCTAGAAAAGTTTAGTAACGAGTTGCATGCTATACTTTTTCTACGAAAAATATTTATTATTATGTTATTTTCACCATTAACATTCAACGTTATTATTTTAATTAAATTTAATTAAGAATTATTAATACCTACTTTAAAATATTAAAATAACTTTAAAAATATGATTATGTTAAGAAAATATGTTATCCTTTGATTTTCTTATATTACTATAATATTATCACAAACTAATAAAAATTCTTACACGTTAAATGTTAAAGGTACAAAATGTGACAGTTGTATTTATTGGAATTTTCGTTAAAATCTCTTTTCTGTGTAAATCAAAATGTATCCCTTGAAAATAGACCAACAATCGATATACCTAGAAGCAGTTTTTCAGAGAAAATATTTAATACTCTTGTATTTTTGAGTTAAGATAATAAAATAATTTTCACATTTAGAATTATTTTACAAGAAAGGCACTTTATTTTAACGATTGTATGACAACTGTCAACTAACTTCAGCCGTGACCAAAGCGCCATAAAGCCACAGCTTGTCAATGGGTATTTTTAATGCTAAAATAGCAAAAAGATATTAACTGAAAAAGGTAATGTGTGCTAAAAAGTTATTTCAAGTATAAAACATCAATATCAATACCAATAGAGTATCCCAAAAACTTCTAAATAATAATTACAAAAAATATTCTTGGTTACTTTTCCTACCTTAAAAAGTTTTGAATATCTCTAACGGTTTCAGAGAAAATTAAATTTTTCTTTACAATATTCAAGTTTTTAATGTTTTAGAGTTTAAAAAAAAAATAAAAAAACATGTAAATTATCAAGAATATTTTGTTTAATAAACTAAAAATTTTCTCCTTGTCAATGTATAAATTATAACTAAACAAAACTTTAGATAAATAATAATATTAAGTGTTTATTTACCAAAGGCTATAAATAGGAATATATAATAACAATACATATAACATTTTTGTCCTATTTGTCCTATGGGTTTTAACAAGGTTTTTAAACATTTTGAGATGGTACCTACATTCCTTAACCCTTAAAGGTAGTTTGTTAAATTGAATTAAATTAAACCATTTGAAAAAACAGATTGGCTCGACTGTTACGACAAATTAAAATTAAAAATTAAAATTATTACAATTTCTGGGATTGTATAATCCCTACACAGATCCGTACACAGATTTTGTTTTTTAACTTTATAAAAAAATATTAATGTTTTTAATATTCTTGTTTTTACTGCCATCAAATTTAGTACATTTAACATTAACTTTATAGAGTTATACTTATCACACAACAAAATGTAACGATTCTGCATGTATTTCCTGAATTCTGTACGAAGGCAGATTAAATAAAATAGTTTGGTGGAATGACCCACATATGTATAATTACATGTCCGTACAGATTCATCATCATTCAGCATTCCTATGACATGGATAACCGCTAAGAAGGGATGAACACCCTAAAATTCAGTTTTAACCCCGCCGCATTCGCCATTTTTTTAAGTATTTAACGTTTAGGGATTTTAATGGTATTTGGTATGAAGATGGAAACGGGACCGGACAATTTTTTACTTTTTTGAAACTTTGAAAGTGAAGGATGAAACGAAATTAAAAATTTTGGGAAAATTTCAACAGCGATGTAAAATTTAAATTTAATATAAATAATGGTGGAACAAATTTTCAAATTTTCCAAAATTTACAAAAACTTTTAAACTTTTCAAAATCTTGAAATTTTTCAAAATTTCGAACATTCAAAATGGCTAAAAGCTCGAAATATCAAAAAAAATTAAAAGCTCAAAGGCTTGAAAGCTTAAAAGCTCAAAAACTAAAAACACAAACAAATGTAATATTCTCAAAAAAACATATAAGCTTTAAATGTTTTTGGTAATTAAAAACTGCCCAATTTCAAACAAAAATGGATAACTGAAAACTGCCCTTACATTAATTTTATTTACAACCAGGTAATTGAAAACTGCGCATTAAAATTATTTTTTTTATAAAGGTAAACTTTTTGTCTTAAAATTAATAATAAAAAGTTCTCTACTGGGCCATTTATAAATCATCCTACTTTATATACACGCTATTTTAAGTTTTAATAATCTAATATAATTTTTCAGGAAACAGAATTTTTTATAAAGAGTAACTTTTTTCGTTAAATGAATACTAAAAAAGTTTTTCAAAAGTTGCCTATAGTATGTTTATGTATATTTGGGGACACCCTTTATAATATACAATATTTAATCATTAAGGTATATTAAATTATAGTTAAAAAATGTATATTAGTAAGTGAAATAACAACAAACATTCAACCTCATTAATATTTCAAAAAAACTAGTCATTTTAAACAAACGACAACTATCAAGCGAGTACATAGTTAGCAATTTTAAATTCTATTGTTGAAATCATGTGATTTTCTAAATACCTGCATTTCCATTTATTTCATATTTACGGAAGATAAAAAAATACAATGTTTAGAATAATAAGAAATTTATCTCAATTTGCGTCAGCAGTAGAAATTAATTTAATCGGTTTCCATAACGATTGATTGATTAATTAAATTATACAAATAAGAATAATTATTTTCATTATTTTTTATAATATTAATTTTGGAATTTATGGCATTTTTAAGTTATGTAGAAATTTTCCATGGAAATATTTTAAAAAAATCCAGTTAAAGATTATTATTATAACAAAATGCGCCTACTTTTTATTTTAATTCTATACAATATTTTATGTATGATATTAATTTAAAATTTTATCTTCGTGATATTTAAATTACCTTTAAAAATAATCACCTTTTGTTCGAAATGAGCAGGCATATTTTTTATTGAAACCCTTTATACCTGCTTCACAACCGATCCTTGTTTTTCCAAAATTACTTTATCCTTTATTTTTGTTAACACCAAAAATAATTATTACCTGGACCAGTTACCGCTTATCCGAAAAAATAATCTCGTAATTACAGCGTTTTTACGTTGGCATTTCTGATGCCATTAAAATTAATCGAGAGGAGTTGGCTGCATTGCTTCTAGACAAAAACAAATGCAAGTGAAAGTAAGAACTGACCAACGCAAATTACACGTAGAGAATCGAATGGTTTTTATTTATATAGGTATGACGTACGCGCATCTGGCCGGTCTACAATTTATCATTAATTTATTAATAAACATTGATTTTTTTCATCGAGATTTCTATTAATTTATCTTCTTGGAACTAATCTTGTAACTGTCGCTAAATAAAAATTCCACATTTTTATCTAAGTACACACTTTACTGTAAAGTCTACAACAAAATTAAATTACTTTGCACTTAGAGACACTTAATCCAATTTAATTTTACTATTTAACATTACCTAAATGCTATTCAAATTTTTATTTATAATTGGCCTTTAAACCCTTTTAATATATTTTTTTACTCATATTGTGCTTGGAGCAATTTATTTTACCTACCCCTATGTAACGCCCTAAAATTTCGAATACCCGTATCCATTTTAATTGAAAATACAGTAAGGTAAGCCGTGTATAAAAATACGTGTTAATTATAAAAATTAATTGATAACGTTTTATTATAAGTTTTTAATCAAAACGTCTCTGTATAGACATTGACAGACAAAACGGCGTCTAATTGGTCTATTGAAAAGTCAGCGTGAAATAAACCAATTAAAATTCGCATAGAAACGTCGTCAAAGATAACCTCTAAAAAATATGTCAAATTAATGTTAAACGAAATTCTTATAATCCTGTAAGTATACTTTGCTAATTTAGATAATTTGTTTTGTTGGAACAATCAAGGTGAATAAAGTGAAAGAAAACTCGAAAAATTCTTAAAGCGTAAATATAAAAGTGTTGAAATGTTATAAAACTAAGAACCAACCATATTATAATTATTTTCGAGCATTAATTGCGAAAGCACAATCATCTCGGTCTCGGACTGGTACAAGATTCACTTTCTTTAACTTCAAAATAAAACCATCAGAGTTATTAACGAAAAAGAGATAAAAAAGGTGCCGTAGGTGCGAGAGTCGCTTGCGCGGCGGATAAGTTTTAGCGTGGATTCGGCTGGGGTATGCGCAAGCGATAGTGAGCGGTAGGCGTTCTGCCCCCACCAGTGCGGCGCTCTGGGTGGGGTTACAATCCATTGCCAGTGTACGGCGTTTTTCCAAACAGTCAGTAACAAACGATTTGAGCAACAGCACGCACGGTATTGCAAGTTTTGGAACAAGCGCGTTCAGTCGTAAAGAGCCAGTGTTAAAAGCGAGTCTTCCATAGTTAGCATATCGTAGTGTTGTGATTTATTATTATATATTTATTGAGTGTGTTGAAAGTGACCTTTACATTAGGATAATGTCTACTGCAATTATGCAAACGAATGCGATGTACGAGTTTGGAGATAATCTGTTAAAGGTTCGTATTTATTGTTATTTTTATTTTCGACGAATCCACAAGTGTCTATTGTTAGGTTAGGGTGCCCGGGTTTACCTGTTTTTCTCTTCTACTTGCTGACCACGCTCGGGCAGGTAGTTTCGAACCGGGTTTTATTTATTTTAAGTGCGACCCAAGGCCTCTCCGAGTCGCAAAACCGGCGATTCGGGTTTTGTATCTACCAAATACACTCGAGACTGAAGACCTGCCTGCGTGCACATAAATAACAAGCTGTTTCTTTATCGGTTTCGTTTTTTTCAAAGCGTTTTTTAATTGCTTCGCCTTAAAAAAATAGGTGATTTACTACAATTATTAACAAATTAACGCGATATTGGTTTCTAAAGTTATAAAATTTCACAAGCAAATTTTGAAATATGATTATTGTAAGTAGGTAGGGTAGAGTTTCTATAACGCGCTATTTCAAAACAAAACTCGTTCGAACGTCTTAATGATTTTCACGGTTCCAAATTAATTTAATTCACCAGGAATAATTTTATTAACGTAATTAATTTAACACGTAAATTTATCGTAATTTTTGAAGTAGGTAAACAACTTAAATTTATCTTTAAATAGGCATCTATTCATTGTTTGGGTAAATTTGGTAGAAAAACATTTTTAAACTGCTTAAACAGTTTTTTGTCGGTTAGTTTATTGCCATATAGAAACCGGCTACAAAAATTGCAAACGTTTTACAACATGCAATAGTATAGTATTTTATTGTAGTAATTCTACCTGACCAAGAAGTTGTACAAAGACATAGGTACAAATAAAAAATAGCAAATTTGAAATATTTGACAATTTTACCATTGTAGCAATGGAGTCTCCAGCGTTATAAAATTGTACATTTTACGTTAGTTTTGATTATTACCGCAAATATTGCGTTTAGAGTTTAGTTTCGAGTACATCTTGAATAAAAATATTAAGTACAAAAGCAATTAAAAATTACTATAAAACGTGAAAAATATCACTTAATTTTTATAAACGATTTGTATCTATACCAATAACAAATTAAAGGTAACCAAACTTTAATTGTAAACAACTACCTAGGTTAAACCAAAATGATCAGTAGGTATTAGTTCTGCATATAAAAAAATAAACACTTAATTAATTGCTTAAAATTTTAAACTCACGATAAAATTAAAACCAATGCACATTCACAATTACTTCAATTTACAACATTGTAAGTACATACCTACCTAGTCATTTTCCTCGACTAAGTTGAAAAAACGCTGTAATTAAAACAATGCTATTTAAATATCAAAAGTAAGCTAAATAATTAGCATATCGAAACAATAATGAAAGTAAACTGCTTGTATTTTTTCCGATTCGCTTGTAGTAGTTGAGTTAGTTAGTACTGGATCAGAGGAAAAGAGATATGCAAAACGCTGACAAATATAGGAGCATACCTCCAACACTTTCATCTGTTAAAAGACAAAATACGACGGAGCGGTAAAAGTCGTGCCCAAAGCCTACATTGTGCACGTTGACTTTCTCGATGCCAGCGACTAGAAGAGAAGAAGAGACTCTGCCGCCTCCGCGACGGGAGAGGCTTTTCTCTTTTCGCCGTGGTGCCGGAAAACAACGTTCGATTTTTTTTCGTGACGTCACAACGAAGACGAGATCTGTTGTTTTGACGTACCTAGGATTAATGATGCGTTAAGTTACTCTCGATTATTTGCGCAATTCGGTTTTGTTATCAGAGGTTATGGCTTTTGCTCGCGCGTTTTGTGCGTTAAAAGTATCGAAATATTGAAGGGCAAAGCGCTCACGCACCCAAAAAGTGACACAAATGGGATGAATAGGCAAAGGCTTTGCAAAACAAGTATAACAAGTGGTAGATAGTTTATAAAAATTGACCAACAAAGGGGAGAGTGAAAATAAAATAACATTCTGGTAGGTACTTATTAGGACCTATAAGTATAAGTGAAGATGTTAAAATCGCCATTTTGAGTTAGGTCATTTTTCTTGTGCATGAGTGATGTGTAGAAACCCAAGCTAAGATATTAATAACTAGAGCCCGGATTATATGCATCATAAAAAGGTTACAATATGCATTTAAATGGTTATTTTTGTCTTCACTTTTTTGGGCACGAAATAATTTTTCACGCAAACTCGACTATGTCCGTCGTATTTAACTGTTCCGGGATAGTCAGCTATCCACGAAGATTCAATTTTTGGGGGGCATGGTACCTACACATTAAACTTTGAAGAAATAAATAAAAAAACATTAGACGCACGTATCGATCGGCTTTCCTTTGAGGTAGACCGCCTGATTGCCAAAAAGAAGTTAATGGTCATATCGTGTAAGACTGCCAAGTCCATTTTTTCAGTTTCTGCCATTTTATTGCCATTTTGTACAAAAACTGCAAGAAATGCAAAAACTGCAAAAATTTAGACATTTAGTAACTAAAGTCTATTCAAATCCAAGCTGGACTAAACAAAAACGCGTGATAACTCGTTTCTATTGGTCGATTCTGATGGTGTGACTCGGATTGTGGTTCGGAGGATTGTGTTTACATTTAGTCCAGCTTGGATTTGAATAAACTTTAGGTATCCTCCCGAAAAATATTGAAAATTTAGAAAAAACATGCATTCCATAGATTTTATATGCAATACGGAAATGCATTTATATCATCCGGGCCCTAGTAATAACACAGTGTGTGTAGTAGGGTGGAGTGAAAAACATGATGGTAACCATTTGATATGCCTATATTAGCTAAGCAAAATACATTGTGGTAAAAATATTATTAGTATTATAACAATTAACGAAACAAAAAAATAATTTTGATTGGACAATGTTTGAAGGGTCCGCCATCTCTTTAAAGTGCAAATTTTATCTTCTGAACTTTAAAAAGATGGCGGAACCTCCAAACATCAATATAATTTTTCGTTAGTTGTACCGTACCTTCATTTGCAAGTTATACATAGGGAAAATACATTGTAGGTGGAACAGACAAGTCGAAGTCAGCGCGGTCAGCGCGAAACGAAAATGTTCCCAGAAATTATTTTGACGAGTGGATGAGTAGACTAACATGCGACGTTAACAGGTGACTGTTTACTGGCGATTAAAATTTTATTACGTCCAAATAATTTCTGAGAACTTTTTCGCTTTGCGCTGACTTCAACTTGTCTGGTCCACCTACAATGTATTTTCCCTATGTATAGCTTGCAAATGAAGGTACGGTATATTACTATCATGTATTTCAGTCCAGCCTAGTGTGTAGGTTGATTTTGCCTTGGTATTTGTTGAGCGTTAGTTGATGGTTTCGTTTTGTTTCAGAATGGAACAGAATCAACGACACAGAGCAACCATCTGGCCGGGTCATCTATGCGACTAACATTGACCAGGATGGCTTCGACTCCCGGAACGACGGCATCGGCGAACCTGGCGATGATCCTGGGCAACCTGACGCAGCAGCACAGACGGCTGGAGCGCACGCAGAGCGCCCCGGCGCCGCCCGTGACCACCCCGCCCGCCTCCATAGCCAGCGCCGCCGTGAACACCTCCAGGTACAAGACCGAGCTGTGCAGGCCGTACGAGGAGTTCGGCGTGTGCAAGTACGGCGACAAGTGTCAGTTTGCGCACGGCATGTCAGAGCTGCGCAGCCTGGCCCGGCACCCGAAATACAAGACGGAACTGTGCCGCACGTACCACACGGTCGGGTTCTGCCCGTACGGGCCGCGCTGCCACTTCGTGCACAACCAGGACGAGGTGGCGCCCTGCCAGAAGGGGCCGGCGGTGAACCAGGCCCTGCTGGCCGCGCGCCATCAGCAGCAGCAGCAGCACAGGTCGAGGCCCAGCGCTTTGAGCCCCAGTTTGTCGCTCGACAGCCCGAGTCCGCCGTGCAGTTTGAGCCAGTCGCCCACCTCCTCGATGGGCTCGTTTTTCTCGTCGGAGCCCGAGTTGCACTCGCCCAGTCTCGACGATCAGCGCCTACCCGTATTCAATAGACTGTCCACAACGCAACTTTTGCAATTGAGCGAATTGATGCTTTAAGTGCTGCTGCATTTCATTCATTCAACAAGTTGAGCTGATAACACTTTAACTCAAGAGACGATTTATTTAAATTAAAAGTGTCTTATTTATATATACAAATCTCGCTTTAATAAACTTCACTTTAAATGAATATTCTATTTTATCTTCATGATATTTTTTTAATTATTATTATTATTATTATTTAATTATTAATAAAGTTATAGTTACGTTACAGACTATATTAGTTTGACCATTGTGCTATAATCTCATGCATTTGTGATAATACGTTAATTTATTATTTACTATGTTGTAAAAGTTGAAAATTGACTTTTATTTTTTATTTGCGTTGAACGTACGTCTTTTAGTTAGTTAGTCTAGGTAGTAGAAGACGAATTCGAGCAAAAATTCATCTTGTGAAAATTGCAACTAACTAATAATTAATTGATTAAGGGGTGTATATGTTGTTGTTGTTCAAAGAGCGCTAGGAATATTTATTTTTTCTTCCTAATGTAATATTCATTTAAAGAGAGGTTTATAAAGGCGCAGTGATTTCGATTATGTGTGATTTTTAAATATATTAATAAATTTATTATGTAATATTAAGGAAAAGTGTGTTTTTATAAGAATGTTGATAAACAAAAGTGTATGATGTGCAAATCTAGGTTTAAGTTTCCCTTTTTTTCACACATCGGTCTCGACTTTCTTAACATTCCTAGTAGTAAAAGGTTTATTTATTTTTCACGTATTTTTACCCGGCTGCTTAACAGTTAACATTTTACCCTGCAATATTTATTATTATTATTATTATTTTGTATTCACGACCGCTAAATCTTTTTCCTTTAATTTTCGTTTTCCTATTTTCGTACGATTTATTTTTAAAAGGAAATTAATGCCCACTGAACGAAACAGATTTAGCGACCGATTTTTGACTAGTTATACTGCATGGTAAAAATACTGACTTTAATTATGTAATAATAATAATTTGCTTTTTTCTTTCATTATGATTTCCTTTTTCATTTTTTTTATTATTTTGTGTGCCTTCATTTTTGACCGATGCTTGGAGAAGAATTCGATTTTTTGTTATTTAAATCATTATTTAATTTTGTGTGTTTTCTCAATACAATGTTATGTAGTTATTTTTATTATTATAATTTATATATAACTTATTAATTTATATTTACTGCATTCATTAGACGGAAAGCCCAGCTGGGGTTGCACCATTGTATATTATTTATATTATTTAGCTATTATAATCTTCTATCAATAAATTATATTTTGTTCTGTATATAAGTAAACAGATTTTTTTATTCCATCCCCACACACATAAATACTATATTCAAGTCAAGAAACTGAAATAATAAACAAGAACACAACAGTAGTCTTACTGTTGTAAGTAAATAGACATTCATTAAACCACTGCTTTATTTCTAAACATAAACTTTAAAAACAAGTCGGCGTTAATTTAAATAAATTGTGTTTGCTCCTATTTCGTCGATTTTTCCGTTCCGATCGACTACGCAGACCTCGGCATAGTAAATGGCGCGCCCAGTGCCCACATTTTCTTTTCTCGCTAACAGAAATTAGCAATGTCACCTTAAGATAAGCACTAAACACTTATCACGCCACACAGGCTAAACAACAGTCGTTTACTTCATTTTAATATGAAAGCGTAAATATCCCATTTAACGTTTTGCTTTAATGGACGTTTGTTTTTTACCCAGGATTTATAGATCATAAATTATTCATTACCTACGAGTTTTTTCCTTTTAATTTGTTTACCAAAAGAATCACGTTTTATAATACAAGTTTAATTTACGTTTAGAGACATAAGGTGCCATCTATTGGACAGTGGCTAAATACAAACTTTATCGAGCAAAATAACTTTTATACAAACAGGAAGTCAATACTTTGATTTTAATGGCGATCTTTTATAATCTATGCACATACTTTCCACACATATAAAAATCACTTCTAACAGACTGTTTCCTTTTCATGGGGTTAAAGTAGGAGAAGTGATATTTTCCGTATGATTGCATTGCCGTTTTAAAAAAATACCATGTTTTTGTCCCTATTTGGGAAGTAAAATAAATACATTTTAATAAATTGTTTAAAAAAATATTTAACAATAATAAACAAACAAAAAGGTGATATTTTATAATGGCATGTTTGGGCAGAATTTGGCAACGTCGTATTTCGACCGCTATAGCCGAAGGTTTTTATCATAGACATATTAATATGTAGATTTATATTAAACCATTTTGTTTTTTTTTGTTGTACACCAATTGTTTTGGCATTATTTTTTTTCCATTGTGTTTACGAGATTTTTAGCGGCTTTTAATATGCATATTAATGCATATTATGCCACTTTTGCTTTTTATAAAACTAAACCACAGAAATTTATGTAGGCTTAACCTAGGCGATGAAAGCAAATGATTTAGAAAAATTTCATAAAACCTAAATTTTATTTAGTTAACAATTTTTTTCATACGTAGACGTTAGGGTGTTTCAAAAAAATTAAAATTAATTTTTTTTCTAATGGTGTTGAAAAATTAATAGTACATTAAAAAAACTTTGGCGCATATTTGAGCCCTTTATATTAATATTAAGGTTTGCTTTAATTCATTTGTTGTTTTTCCATTTCAATAACACGAGAATTTTTATTTTTTAAATTTTGAATTCTTATAATTTTGGAATGGTTTGTTTTCGCAACACCCAAGCGAGAGGAGTTATAGACATTTTCACGCTCTACAAAAAACATCTGAAGGTCAAAGTTCTTCAGGTCAACCGTTTCAAAGATATCAGCGATCAAAAATAACACTAATAAAAAATTTCAAATATTTTCAAATAAAATACAAAAAAATATGCCATATTTATATTATTTTTTATGTAAAATCACTTTAATTTTGTTAACCTGAGACTGTAAACTTTTTTTATTTATATATAGGTACATACAATGTATATTATACATACATATAAATATAAAATATATTATTATATTTATATAATAAATGTATTATTAATTATTCAACACCATTAGAAAAAAAAATAATTTAAGTTTTTTTTGAAACACCCTAGTAGATGTATTGATATGTCTATGATATCATATATTTTAAATCCCCCACTTATGAAATGACCATTCGCATAAGGTAAGATGACAAATTTTCTATACAAAATATAGCAGTACCTATATGTATTGGATGTGGATACTATTTACTGGATAAAAGTTAGATTAACGGCTGAAAAGACTGGGAATGCGTATAATATAAAAATATTTTACTGATTATGATAATTTATTAAAAAATCAAAATACATAAAGCATTATCATATTAGAATGAGTAAAAATAAATAAACTAAATGATTACTTGTAAAACTCATGCTCACTTTCATCCTTTTTGATGTTATTCTTGTAACCTTTTTCAAAATCTTTTGGTAGCACGATATATCTGTTTTCTCTTACAGCATGCATACCGGCTTCCTGGCAAATAGCATTTATATCAGCACCAGAGATTCTGTCAGGTCTAGCTACATAATCTTCCAAATCAACCTAAAAACAATTTGATTATTTTCTCACATGGAAAAAACCGCTACAGTAATTCACAATAAAGTACATTCTGTCAATAATTAACATTAATATCTACTCTAATCCTGTTCTACACTTATGTAAGTTATTCAGTCTAATTTTGAAATCTTAACAATAATTTTAAGAACTTGAACAACGTGCATTTTTTATTTTACAAATTTTAATAGCCGTTTTAGCATTTATTAGATAAAAGTTTAAAGATTAAAGTTTAACACTTAAATTATGTTTTAACAGAAATTTATTAGGTTAAAAATTTTTAAACTCAAAACAATTGAAGTCAACAAAATATTTTAAATATAAAATGCAACAGTAAAAATTTATGTTTAAAAATATTGATTTTTAAAAGTTTTGGTTATAATATTTTATTTTACAAAATTATTGGTTTAAATTTTTAAAGACTCATTTAAATGATAGTTGATAAATTTTTAATACAAAAATTCTCACATTACATTTAAATGTAAGTTTTAAATTTTAAAGTAGTAATTTTTGTATCAAAAATTTATCGACAATCATTTAAATGACTCTTTACAAATTTAAACCAAATTTTTTTATTGTTAACAATTTTAATGTGATATATTTTTAAGACAAATTTTATAACTTTACATTTAAATGTAAGTCGATAATTTTTAAATTACAAAGTGTAAACGTAGCTTTAGTAGAAGGCACAAGAGTTTGGGATCGGAGCCACGATGCAGCCAGTTTGATCCGCAGTGTTACCAAATCGTGCTTGCTCCATAAATATTTGAAGTGTTTTAGAAATTATCGTAGTGAAATGTTTCTTTATTAAATAAATTTAATTATAGAATAACAACATTTTTAGTACCCATTGTACTAAGTTAATTTGACAATTAAAAAATATTTTTTCTAATTTTTAAGAGAAATTTTTTAAAATGTAGTGCCACAATATATCGATGACTTCCTGCCAAAGTATCGCAAGCAACATAACTCAAATTTCGGGAATTGAAAACATTTTTTGTCTTAAAGTCTGTTTTAAATTAAATATAGCCTAAAGGTTTTATAACAAGTAAATTACTTATAATTATAGCTATTTGCTTGTTATAAAACGTATAGGTTATATATGGTTTAAAACAGACTTTAAAATAAAAAATGTTTTCATTTCCTGAAATTTGAGTTAAGTGGCTTGCGATACTTTGGCAAAAAGTCATCGATATACAAATACAAATTCCCGCTTTCCGGCTTTTGCGGTGAGGTTAAGTGTTAAGCCTGATTTATAGATTGCCTTCCTTCCTTCCTACCGTAGAAGATGAACAATACAATCCCGTACGGGAATCTATAAACGGCACTGGGAATTTGTATGATGCATCCACGTAATATTGGGCACTACATTTTAAAAAAATTTCTCTTAAAAATTAGAAAAAATGTTTTTCAATTGTCGAATTAACTTAGTACATAGGCACTAAAAATGTTGTTGTTCTATTATTAAATTTATGTAATAAAGAAACATTTCACTACGATAATTTCTAAAACACTTCAAATATTTATGGAGCAAGCACGATTTGGCAACACTGCGGATCAAACTGGCTGCATCGTGGCTCCGATCCCAGACTCTTGTGCCTTCTACTAAAGCTACGTTTACACTTTGTAATTTAAAAATTATCGACTTACATTTAAATGTAAAGTTATAAATTTTGTCTTAAAAATGTATCAATTTAAAATTGTTAAAAATAAAAGTTTTTGGTTTAAATTTGTAAAGAGTCATTTAAATGATGGTCGATAAAATTTTAATGCAAAAATTACAACTTTAAAATTTAAAACTGACATTAAAATGTAATGTTTAAATTTTTGTATTGAAAATTTATCGGCCATCATTTAAATGACTCTTAACAAATTCAAACCAATAATTTTGAAGAATAAAATATTAAAATTCCATGTTTTAAAAATCAATATTTATAAACTTTAACATTTACAGTTGAATTTTATATTTAAAATATTTTATCTACTCCTACATTGACGAGCTGTGACTTTATGGCGTTTTATTGACGGGCTGAAGTTAACAACAGTGGCTTTTCGACATTTTACGCCACGGGCTGAAGTTAGCTTTATTATAAATTGGGAAAAAGTGAGGTTAAATTCGGGTGACAGTTGGCAGATCGTCACCTGAGAATTATAGTGTTCTATCTGCATTTTCTTTTTTTTATTCAGGTTAGTCTTGTTTTAAGTATTAAAGATGGATATTGTTCTATCTATATATAATTGGGGTAGAAATTGTACAGTTTAAGCCTTAAACTTTACAATTTCTACCCCAATTATATATAGATAGATCAATATCATCTTTAAGACTTAAAACAAGACTAACCTGATTAAAAAAAAGAAAATGCAGATAGAACACTATAATTCTCAGGTGACGAGATGTCAAAATTTTAACAAATAAAATTGGCTTTAAATTCTGTTTTGTGTTCGTCGTAGATAAAGTATAGTATGCAACTCGTTTATAAACTTCTCTAGACACTCTTTTTTATTAAACACTCGCTCGCAAGCTTCGCTCGTGCTTAATTAAACTCGTAACTAAAATGGCGTTTATAAAACTTGATACATAATATACTATTATCTACTCCTAAATTGACGAGCTGTCTCTTTATGGCGTTTTATTGACGGGCTGAAGTTAACAACAGTGGCTTTTCGACATTTTACGTCACGGGCTGAAGTTGGCTTTATTATAAATTGGGAAAAAGTGAGGTTAAATTCGGGTGACAGTTGACAGATGTCAAAATTTTAACAAATAAAATTGGCTTTAAATGTTTTGTGTTCGTCTTAGATAAAGACTTTATCTACGACGAACACAAAACATTTATAGCCAATTTTATTTGTTAAAATTTTGACATCTGTCAACTGTCACCCGAATTTAACCTCACTTTTTCCCAATTTATAATAAAGCCAACTTCATAAAGTATAATATGCAACTCGTTTATAAACTTCTCTAGACACTCGTTTTATTAAACACTCGCTCGCAAGCTTCGCTCGTGCTTAATTTAACTCGTAACTAAAATGGCGTTTATAAAACTTGATACATAATATACTATTTTGATTATCAATAGTTTTGAGTTTACAAAAATTTAATTTTTTAAACTGTTTTAGTAGAAAATGTTTTATATGTGTTTTTATTTTAAATGGATTGATACTATTTTTAAATACTCAAAAATTTAACTTTACCAAATTAATCTCAATTATTTTATAAAATATTTATTAAAGTTTACAAAATAAATTATACTTGGAAAATTATTTTTATTAAAAAATGATAGTTAGAAATTTTTGCAAAAATTGATAGAAAATAATATTATTTAATACAGAAGTGAACTGTTAGTTAGTAAATTTTGTCTTTCAATACATGATAGTTGAAAAGATTTAAAATTTATAAATGTAAACCTAAAATTTTTAGTTAAAAAAATTTTAAACCAATAAAATATTAAATTAAAAAATTATTTAATAAATGTTAAAACGGCGTGCCATAGCATTAGGAATTTAATTATGTGATATTAAAAAGGAAAATGTAAATTATACAGGATTTTTTTTTCAATCACTTTACACAATTTCCATATAATTTCTCAAGAAATTCGTAGCTTAAAATTTGTTGTTACAATTTTAAAAAACTGATAGTTGTTAGATTCTTTGAAAGGATAAAAATAATAATTCGCACATGGCCTTAATCATTTATATAGACTTATAATCCTAAAAATTATAAAATATATTTACCTCTTCAGACAAGTTCATCCTAGATGTAATAGTAGTGAACACCAATCTCTTCTGTCTACGATCAGGCAATGGAAACTCGATCTTTCTGTCCAAACGGCCGGGACGCAATAGAGCAGGGTCCAACGTGTCAGCCCTGTTGGTAGCCATGATAACCTTGACGTTGGTGGTCTGATCGAAACCATCCATTTGGTTCAACAACTCGAGCAGAATTCTCTGCACTTCCCTATCGGCTCCGGTTTGAGCGTCGAAACGTTTGGTGGCGATGGCATCGATCTCGTCGATGAAAATAATGGCGGGAGAGTTTTCTTTGGCGAGCCTGAACACGTCGCGCACCATTCTGGGGCCCTCGCCCAAATATTTCTGTACGAATTCCGAACCTACTACTCTTATGAAAGCAGCAGTGGTATGGTGGGCCACTGCCTTGGCCAACATGGTTTTACCGCAACCGGGGGGCCCATACATCAACACACCTAAATTAATCAACAAATCAAAAAATGGTTATTTTTTATGTTTTGGAGGATATGTTTATTTTTGCTTCTTTAAATCATGTTTGGTGGCGCCGCCAAACGTCAAATCTTTTAACTTTTAGTGATATTTTATTTCAAATGGCGAATTTACTCAGATCAAATTTTAACTCACTGCCAAATATTAGCTAAACATTGTATGACTCAAATTGTGTTACCAATTAGGTACTGCTTTATTTAATTATGGTATAAAAGTATACGTTCACTGTTATTTGAACCAATCGGGTTTTAAATTAAGAAAAAGTAAGGTTAACAGATGTCAGATTTGTTTATATATACGAGGGGCGACTATAATAATCTTTAAAATCGGAAAAAGTTAGGTTATAATAAATTTTTTTATCAATGAAAATTACTTAATTGGAGTAGAAAAAGCATAGTGGTACACTCGAAATAATGCGCATTATTTACTCGGATGATTTACGTCTCTCGCCTGACGGCTCGAGATGCAAGTCTCATCCTTGTGGATAATAGCCTGCATTATCTCTCGTATAATAATAAACTTTTAATTGTAAAGGATTCATTAGACCCTCAGAAAATAACATTATTTTTTTAGTTTTATGTGAAGTGAAACATAAAATTTTGTCGAGATGTCGCTTTCCGGGCGTAATCATCTTAATAACAACCTTGGTGCATAAAGAGCTATTATAAACGCCATTTTAGTTACGAGTTTTATTAGACACGAGCAAATAAAAACGAGTGTCTAGAAAAGTTTATAAAACGAGTTCCATAGTTTATCTATGAGAATTTAAAGCCAATTTTAATTTTTAAATATTTGACATCTGACTAATTTAACCTCAGTTTTTCGCAATTTATGCTTTAGCCATATATGGCTTGTCAATGTGTATCAAGTTTGGTAAACGCCATTTTATACACGAATTTAATTTAGGCACGAGCGAGCTTGCGAGCGAGTGCTCAAGTTAATGAGTGTATAGAAAAGTTTATAAACGAGGTGCATACTTTACTTTTTCTACGACAAATACTTATTATTATCTTAAAATGATTTAAATCAAAAATTTGTATAGAGCGCATCTATGAAACAACAGGGGAAACTGTCAAATGTCACATTTTTACATTTTATAAACACAATTATAAAGGTTATAAATCGAAATGTATCTTGAAAATTGACAGTTTTTCACAGTGAAAGTAAAGGAAATGTTTTATGATGACTTGGTCCGTGCCCGAATTTAAGTTATAGTTTACTGCCGGCGAAATTAAAAGGTCAGTACAACTTTTCAAATATTGGCGTTGAGAAACTATTTAATACTTTTGTATTTTTGTATTGAGATAATAAAATAATTTTCACATTTAGTATTATTTTACAAGAAAGGCACTTTATTTTAACGATTGTATGACATATGACAACTGTCAACTAACTTAAAACTAACTTCAGCCCGTGACTAAAAACCTGTTGCTAACTTCGGCCCGTGGCTAAAGCGCCATAAAGCCACAACTTGTCAATGTGTTTAAAAGGTCACTTAGTGTCATGGAAACATGTACGATAAAGGGCGTTTTAAAGGTGGGAGTAGAAAAACTCACTTTTTTGACATGGGGTAGCTTGAAGGGCATACTGCACCAATGTGATGGCAATCTTGTTAAGCTTGTTAACTTTGAGATTCAAAATATCCAAAGGAGAACTTTCTAGACTATTTAAATTTTATAAATTTTTTAAAAAGTGGTGCTTTAATTTTGCATATCAGTTTATTTTCCTTGCAAATTTAATACAGTCAGCAATGGGGTTATTACATATTTGGAATCTGGGCAAACAAATTTGTCAATAATTTTTTTCCTGTTTCTTAAATTTTAAGAACGTTGCAGAGTTTAAAGAACGCCCAGATTTAAAACGCTAAAAATTCATATCTAAATGATGGATTTTTTGTTATTTTTATCATGAATACCATTAAAATGTTTGATAAAGTTCCCCCCAAACTTTTAAAAAATTATGTATATTATCATAATACCTCAAAATAAAACTGGACATATTGTTATTATGGCAATGAAGAACTCAAATCCTGCTGCTTAGATTAGGGTTCTTCTAGTAGAATTTATTTATTTAAACGTTTGTTCACAAAAAGTTTAAATTTTTACAATACCAACATCAAGACATCATTTTTGCCCAAAAAATAATCTAACTAAATGTCTTACCTCTGGGTGGGTCGATACCAATCTGCTTGTACAACTCAAAGTGTGTCAGAGGCAATTCAACAGCCTCTCTGATTTCTTGTTTTTGCATGTCCATACCTCCAATGTCGCTGTATTGAACATCTGGTTTTTCATCAGCCGACAACATGCTGATGGAGGAATCTGCTTCAGGAGGCAAAACATCGACCAAAGCATTACTATGTTTATGCAAGGCAACACTTGCTGATGGTTTTAACAATTCTCTATCGATTGTCGACAAAATGCGCACATAATAATTGGAGCCAGTGGTTGAACCAACAATACCTGTGTTTTGATCGACAGCCTCTGGAAATTCAAGATTATACTTATACCTTTAAATTGCAAATTATACAAATTATTTACCTAAAAATTGTCCGATTACCAGCGGAACGGACTGGATTCTCTTGACCTCTTCTTGAGCGTGCAAGTACTCCTTTTTCAAGTTTCTTTGTTCATCTTTAATATACTCCTCTTGAACTTCCAAAAATTCCAACATTTGCTGCAATTTCTTATACTTTGTGTATAAATCTTCAACATCAGCATCTTGTAAGCTGACTTTCGTTTCTGAAGGGCTTCCTTCGTCCTAAAATGTAACAAAAAACTGTAAAATCATTCTGCTTTTGAGGTTATACTTTTAAAACAACATTAAAATTCGGCTTCAACGGCAGCATTTTTAGAAAATATGATGTTTACAAGTAGTTGTTAATAGCGACAGATTAATTGTATTAACTTACTTTTTCTGGTAAAATAACTTCCATTGCCTCCATTGTTGATGACTTGTAAAATTTTCTCAAAATTGTTTACCGCAGATTTTTGACACTTAAGAAAATACCTACCTTACCGACTCACTTAATTACCGTGCCCTGTAATAAGACCAAGCAAATTACAACAATCTGCAATAGAGTAATTGCATCAAAAATTAAAATCCCTAAAAACCTTTTTAATGTAATCTAGAGGTAAAAACACATTGCAAAAATATTTTTTTATATTCCAAAAGTTCAACCCGGCCCCAAAATATCAAATTAAAAAAAAGGTACTTTTCAAACGTTCCGAACTCCCGCCATATTGCATGACGTCATAAGCTCCAACTGTCAGAAATCAAGATGTCAACAAATAATAAACACCGATAAAGTTTATGTTTAACATGGAAAACGCGAAACCAAAAATTGGTTGTAAATATTGTTTTGTGCCTTGTTGTACAAATACAACCTGGAAAACTCCTGGGAAAGTTGTCCCTTCAATTATCAAAAGCAAAGTTTATGACCCTACACTGAGAGTAGTTACGGCTCAGCCGTATTTTCTTGGGTTTATTAATATTTAACATACCTATTCAAACCATATACCTAGTAAACGACATTTTATTTTACTTACATTAAAATGATCCTTAAAATGATCAATAAAATGTTGACTGCGGTGACGATGTTTTGATATCGCGCCGAGCTATTTTAATCCACTTTATCCTTATTTTCCCTTTTGGCACGGTGATAAACCTTTTCCCAGGAGTTTTCCAGGTTGTATTTGTACAAGGCACAAAACAATATTTAGGTACAACCAATTTTTGGTTTCGCGTTTTCCATGTTAAAAATACACTTTATCGATGTTTATTCTTTGTTGACATCTTGATTTCTGACAGTTGGAGCTTATGACGTCATGCAATATGGCGGGAGTTCGGAACGTTTGAAAAGTACCTTTTTTTCAATTTGATATTTTGGGCCGGGGTTGAACTTTTGGAATATAAAAAAATATTTTCGCAATGTGTTTTTACCTCTAGATTACAATAAAAAGGTTTTTAGGGATTTTCATTTTTGATGCAATTACTCTATTACCAAAGAATTTTTGGCGGTTTTATTTAACTTTATTTAAAGATTGTTTTTTTTATTTGGAATTTGACACATTTGATAATGTCAATATACTGTACTGTTTAAAATTGGTGCCCCTGTTCAAGGCCTTAATTTTAATTACTTTGACATTAAATGTCAATTAAATTTTAATTGTCAGAATTATAATAAACCACAATAAACAATACCAAAGTTAACAGAAAATTCTGCCCGAAAAGAAATTAAAAAAAACAGCAATTTGATGAAATAATTCCTAATGCCACAGAGGAGAAAGATTAACTGGCTTAAAGATATTTTTGGGGTAAAATAATCCTTATACATATATCAAGCTAAGTATAAACGTTTAGCAACTTCAGACTCATTGAACATTGGGCAATATTTTTTCTCTAAATTCCTGCATTCCCTTTTTAAAGGATAAACCGAATAATGTTCAAAAATACATGTATATTTCTAGGCTGGGAATGCAGTAAAGTCACCTATATTTCAAAATTTATAAACCGGAATTATATTCTCCACTAATTACCTATAGTTAGTTTGTTTTACTCAATGTAGCTATAGCTAATTAAATTATAAATTTAGGGTCCCTAGTATTTGCCAACTAAACCAAATTTTTCAAATTCTGAATAAAAAGTGTTTTAGAATATTTTTATCCACAATCCACACAACAAGGTCTGTTCCATCTCGTTTCGCGCATACTAAAAATCAATGCACCACTGCACAGACTCGAACGGCGTTGTTTACAATTATTGTGCTTTGGGTTTGTGCTGTATATACAAATTAAAAATCGTTTTAAACTTTGTTAGAATATATAATAATTTAATAAAATAAAGTAGTTTTCAAGTAATAACTTTTATTATTAAAATTGATACATGTTTAAATAATCCCCAGCAGGGTGTAAATTTTATCAATTACAAATAAATAAAAAGGCACAATCTATACATGTGTAAATAAACCCATTCATTTCACTTACATTACAAAAATAAATTATCACAATCCTTAGTAATCACCTTTCTTCTGACAATTTTCCATGTAAAAATAAACACAATCATCAACAGCTTTTTGATCCACAAGGTTTTGTTGGAAGACCGATTTTAGATATTAATTATGATGTTGATGATTGTGCCTATTTTTTCTGTTAATTCTTTGTCCCATCATTAGAATATATCATCACCTGACGATTTAATAAAATATTTTATAAAATTTATTTCATAACATAATGGATAAACTTTTTAATAAAAAGTTTTTATAATATACTTCTACATATCTATAAGGCTTATATTGTTAAAAATATATTTTTGGTCGCTTCTGTGAAGCCTTTACATTACATTACTCAATAAAAACAAACCAACCAAACGCTTAAGTGATAAATATTTTATTTTGGTTCATTCCTGAAAATTTGTTTTCCGTAATCAATGTAAAGGCTTGCTTTTTAGTATTTCTAAAAGTTAGTAAATAGGTTGGTAAGCAAAACTTCATAAGACTAAACAACTTACATTTACAGATAGATTTGGTATCAACCTAAAATTGTGTAGCTGTAACACATAAACAAAAAGTTGTGGCCAAGGACCCTACATCAAAAGATTAACTTGTTGTGACTTGGCACAAGGTGTTGTTTTGATGATGGACCTTGTTTTTTGATATTTTGTTTAAACTTATTATACCTGACAACATGAATAAACTGTGACTGAGTTGGAGTAAGTATACAGACTTAGATAAACGATTTACCCATTCCAATAGGTTATTGTAGTACATCGTAATTATTAGAATTGCGGGTTATAAAAGTAAAAAGATTCGACACAGGTACGCTTCTTTTGTATTATTATTATTATTATTATTAAGAAATTGGAATGGATGAATAAGTTAGGCAACTGAAGTTTTCAAAATATTTAAACCAACTTCATAATGAAATACAACACTTAAATTATTGCGTTAACAGACGATTAAAATTAACATAATATGTTATTTTATATATAAAAATACAACTATAAATATATAATAATAAAATTATTTGGTATATTAGATTAGATAGATGGTTAAAACATAACAAATACAAACATAACGACAATATACAATAAACAAATATTAACTATTAAGTTTCATAACTAGAATTGATAAAATTCTTTTTAATGTATTTTACAAGAAACTTATTAATAATTAATAAATTAAAACAAAACAAAATGTACATTTGTAATAAAATTTAAAAAAAGATATTCCAGATCATTCATAAACAATATTAATAAAAATTGAATCAATATATATATATTATATTTAGATCTTTTGTATAGATAATAATTTATGGTATTCAGGCACATGCATTTTTAATTATAAAATTCATATTTTTTTTAATGATAAGTTGTCATTTTTTAGAAATATCAGACTAAAAAATATTTCTCAGTCTGCATTACACATCAAAGATTTTATTATTTGTGGAGAGGGTGCAGTAGAACAATTAAACACTTAAGGTGGGGAAAGAAAATAAAGATTAGTTTCTTTAAAGCTGACCTACTGTGTGATTATTGGTATAATATACACGTACGCAACTGTAACGTGGCCATATTCAGCAAACAAATAATTGACCAATGCAATCGGGTAACAATGCGGTAACAAGCGCAAGAGGCACAATAATGAACCATTTTGTAATAAAGACCAATTTCTAATTTAAAAAATCATTCAAAATATATTTTTGTCCCTAATTCTTTTTAATGTTTAAAAATCCGATTAATTAATATAAAATTGCAGAAAAGGCAGGTATTGTTATTTAAATACATATTATACAGATTTTGAGAAGAAAATATTTAAATTAAATTTACATTAAAAACAATCTACTATTACTAATATGTAAAATTAAAATGTCTGAATTACTTGTAGCCTACACAATTTTATAGATTGTTTACAATTTGTAGACAATCTAAAAAATTGCGTCTATAGGTTTATCCATATAGGTACATTTAAAATTTATTTTGAATTTTGTTGGCAGACTAGAATTAAATTATTGTACACACTGCTTTAGTATTAAGTTTAAAAAAAGCTTTTTCAGAATTAGAAATATTTTTTTATAAATTATAAAAACCTAAAATAATACAATGTACAACTATTTAAAAAACAATATTTTTGCACATTTCGTGTAATTAGCAAACATTTCTATAAAATTGGAAAACAAATCAGATTTATAGTAGTTTTAAGACAATAAATCACAGTTTTACAACTATTCACTGAAGTAATAAAACATGGTAATATGAGAGGCCATAAATATGACATAAATTGCAATCATATGTTAAAAAAAGTAGTAATTAGGAAGAGCTATAATACTTAAAATTCTTAAAATATGAAAACCTATTTTCACTTTAATACTAGTTGAAATTTTATTTTTTAATTAAAAAAACATAATTTCAATCAAATTTACTCCGGTTTTTTGATTTATCCGAACAACCTGGCTCTCATTGGCCGTCATCTTGAAAAAAAAAATTGTTTTAATAACCGTTTATCTAAAAGGCCAACGGACTTTTAAAATACTGTCAATTTTAAGAGCTACATTTTTATAAAACTTATTTTGCTCAACGATGCGATTTTGCATGAATATGTGAATATATAATTTTCTAAAAAAAACATCGCAAAAGGGGTAAAAAGAAAGAAACCATTTTTTAAAATGGTCGAGGTTTTATAACCTTATATTTCAATTCAATTCAATAAATCTGAATACAGAGTATCTCTGTATTCAGAGGTTAATGGCCTTATATTTGTTCGCCTCTGTGACAAACGGTTTATAGGTTATTAAAAAAAGAAAAGGAGATGAAAACCAGAATACTTATTATTTTATTTATGATCTTTTGATTAAAAAAATTCCAACCAGTACAAAAGTATTGGGTTTCCATATAAACCACAAAAACTTTAAAATTCTCATCCAGACAAGCATAAATTATGTATTTTATGTATAATGAATAAAGCCAATAAACTGTCATTTTGACATGTTTCAACATGATAAAAAAGTAGACAGAGACCACAATTGTCAAGGCCATCTTGTTAAATTTAGTGTTGTAACAATGTGTATGTTATTAATTTCATATATATATTTCTAAAGGGAAAATTATAAAAAAATACTCTTCCAATAAAAATACCATGTCTGGCTAAAAATTATGTAACATCATTATAAAATGTGCAACCTTAAAACAAATTTCTGTGAAAATAAAAACATGCCTAGACAAGAGCCAGGTATCCCTTTCCCCCCTTTTTAAGACGAAAAGACTCGTGCGCCCTCTTGCGTTAGTTACGGCATTAGACTTACCTGCCGACTCCTTCTCATAACATTTTTTCGGTGATGGCGGCCACTTCGGCTAACGTGGCCAGCCCGGATAAATCGTTTTGAGGTTTCGCCGGCTCTGGCTGATCGACGCCACTGTTCAGATGCGTGATGCTCGACTTGTTTTTCCGTTTCTTGGACCCAATCGGTTGCTCTTTGTTGTGTGTTTTTTGCGACTTGTTCGATGGAGAATCGCTTTCGGATTTGAAACTTTTTTTCCGCTTTTTGCTCTCGCGCTTGCGACTCACGAACGCCTCGTAGCTCAGGGACGGAAGTTCCGATATCCTCTGGTCGAGATTGAAGTCGTTCGTGTGCCGCTCCGGTTCGGATGTCTCCGAGACCGTTCGCTCGCGAGTCGGTTCCACTTTCGGCGCTTCTTCGTTTAATTTCACGTTGGTACGCTTGGCCAATCTCTTTATGGTGTCGTTCAGATCCAGAGTGGGTACCTCACCTCCATCTGAATCATTTTTATTAACCTTCTGCTGCTGAGTGAGTTTGGTGTCTTTTTTGTTCCCCAACAGTTTATTTTCGACCATGAACTGCTCGTATCGCTTGCCCTTGCAGGATCTGTCGGACTTTCTGGAGCCATTTACGCCTTCATCGTCTTCTAAATCTTCTTCTTCAAGAATGTTTCGCCTTAAAGCTTCGGAATTCATAACCTCAGCGGCCATTCGTTTTTTGAACGGCTTTGGCGGCGTGGTGACTTGTATCAAACTTACAGGGCTCTCATAACTCACCTCGTCGTTATTGTTGTTATTATTGTTGTTGTTGCTCTCTTTGGAAGAATTATTGAAGTTGTTCATGAGCGAAGTGAGACTGCCCAGTTGAGATTCGTCCGCCAATTTTCCGGGGGTGAATTCCGAGGTAATTGTGGGTGTGTTGATGGAGGCAGCGGAGCCTTCGGTGGCGGTCGCTGGAGGGGGACTAGAGTGGGAGGTGGGGATTCTTTGCTGCATTGGTCTGGTCGTCAGGGTCCTCAAGGGGGGAGCCGGCAGTTTGTACCATTTGAAATTCGGATTTGCAGACAAAAACGCATCTTTGTACTGAAACACGACAAAATATTACGTTAATAAACCAGTTTTACATTATATAATATCAATTCTCATACGGCTCAAACTGAATTCTGGTTAAGTAGTAACTTTGCTGTGTGATGTGTGCTTTGCAGACCAGCACATTCCTTTCTGCGGTGTGAGATCCAAAATGGTCTTTGAATTTAGGTTTTATGATAAGATTTAAAAAAAATCTGAATTTTATGGAAAGCCTAATAAATGTTTCGTTTTTTTTTAAATACTGGTCCGCCTAAATTTAAGTTTAATTTTTGGAATCGCGATTCGCAATCGGAAAATATTTTGACAGTTTTTTATGACTGTCATCAAATTTTAAAGAGAAAACTATCAACTATGTTAAAACGCGTTGTCATTGTAGCCATGCTAATAAAAAAATTGTACGTGAATTAATTGTTATAATAAGTCTGTGGGTAAAAGGCATAAGGGGATAAGTCAAAAAACGCAATTTTTCAATAGAGCCTTTAACGTGTTCGCATTAATTTAGAAAATATATTTATGTTTAGCGGGTATTCGCTTTTTTTAGCATGTGATATGGGCTAAAAAAAGGGTATACCCTCTAACAATAAATATGTTTCCTGAATTAATGCGAATACGTTTAAGGCTCTACTGAAAAATTGCTTTTTTTGACTTATCCCCTTATGCCTTTTACCCACAGAAGTATAATACTTATTTACTTTATTATTCTGTGTGGTATAGGGCTATTTTAAAAAAATACTAACATATCGGTAATATGGGCCCACAGAAATCGATCCCCCGAGGGGGGATGTTATTATTGAATATTTTAACTAAAAAAAGTAACGGAACGAAAAAATCATTTTTATTTTTGTGTTTTATCGAGGGGTCAACCACCCAAAGGAAAAACGTCCAGGGATTCTCAAGAATTCCCAATGTATTCCATGGTGCTGTTCTGAGAGGTGATTTTTGGACTTTCTGTGAAACCTAATTTTTTTTATATTCTTGTTAATTAGGTCATAACTAAGAATTTAAGAGCAAAGTAAAAAAAAACTGACGGTTTGAATTGTTTTAATTGGCTGTTTATTAAAAATATTATGCACTCTTTCAATTATCCAATTAAAACTAGCGATTTATTTTAAATATTTAATATTTGCATAACTAAAAAAAAGGTTTTTACAATTTTTTTTATATATTTTACTGTTTTGTTGCAATAAACGTTCAAACTTTTAATCTAACCTTTGACGTATACATTTATGTTCCCTTAATTAATATATCCTTAAAGGTTGCCATGAAACTTAGATCTATTAAAAATTTATTTGACGTTTAAATTGTCATTTTTATTATACGTATTCTATAATTTTTGTTCTCTCAGAATCGCAAGTTTTAATTGGAGAATTGAAAGTGTGCATACATATTTTTAATAAACATCCAATTAAAACAAAATTAACCGTCAAATTTTTTTTATTTTGCTCTTAAAATTTTAGTTATGACCTAATTAACAAGAATATAAAAAAAAATTAGGTTTCACAGAAAGTCCAAAAATCACCTCTCAGAACAGCACCGTGATTCCTATGTATTCTCATTTTGTTCCTATGTTATTCCCCCTCTAAAATGTCAACGGATTCCCAGGTGTGGTTGACCCCGGGGTTTTTATTTTTAATCCCCCTATAAACTATTATATGATTTTTGCAATTGTGACTGTATATTAGGGTGATTTAATTACCCTAATATACAGTCACAATTGCAAAAATCATATAATAGTTTATAGGGGGATTAAAAATAAAAACTAAAAATTAAATTATAAAAAGTTTTTCCTTTTTTTACCCCTTATATCGAAGTTTACCCAAAAAAACAATTTTACTTAAAGCTTAAGCAAAATCGAACAAGTTTTAGAGGTCGCTACCAGCAATTTTTAATATTTTTGATAAAAAAACTTAAATGTTGAAAATCGCATTACTTTTTATAGAATCTTCGTCTATTTACGTAGTTTACGAAAATCGAATCAAAAAAGTTATTTTCGAAAAAGGAATTGTGTGCGTTTTTTTTGTTAATATAAAAACAAAAAGGCGCCCGCCATTTGTGAAATGGTGTAGACTCTAGGTTTCATCTAAGTTGTCCAACAATACATTTCAAGAATAAAATTCTTTCACGTAGCGACGCGTCGGTAAATTTGTTGCCTAACATTTATTTAAACTCCAAATTAAATAATCCACATTACAAAATACGCAGGTTTTAATATTTTTAGTGTGCACATTGTTTATATACAGGGTTTCCCAAAATTAGTCGGACAAACTTTAATAGCGAATTCTAAAACTGGAAATATTAAAAAAAACGTCATATAACCAAAGGCCGAAAAACCATTGGTTTTCAAGAACCAGGGTGTTAAAATTGAAGTGCTGAGGATGGTTTTTGTTTAATATTTTTGAAACATCGAAGGATAGTTAATTGAAACTTTGTACACCCACTAAACTTTTTTTCTTAAAAAAAATAAAGTTACTCTTAGCGATATGTCGTTTTTAAACAACTTCAGAGAATGTCCGCACTAAAAAATAAAAAAAAAAATACAAAACATGCGCGTAATATCATTTATTTAATTTGGAGTTTAAATAAATTTTAAGCAAGAAATTTACCGATGTAAAGAATTTTATTCTTAAAATTTATTTTTGATTTGATAGACAAAGATTATCTGACCGCTTTAATCAAATCCCTTAAAGTAAAGCGATAATAGGTGTTTTAAAGGTGAGAGTAGGAAAAACTCTTTATTTTATCTTCTTGTATGGATATGACTAGAGTTGGGGATGATCAATTGACCGCGGTCAATTGACCGCTACCTATTTGACCGGTCAATTGACCGGTCAAAATATATTTAATTTTTGCAGCATTTTATTTAAGTATCAACAATTACCCGTGAATCTCAAAATTTGTGCGATCGTGCAATATCGACATCATTTACAATTTGGCTTTGCCCTTAAAGCGGGACATATCTTTTTTAATAGCGAAACATAACTTTTTAAAGCCGCACAAACGTTTCTAAAGATGAACATAACTTTTATAATAAAAAAAATTTGGTAACGTATTTTAATTTATTAAGCACAAATAAATACAGTAACAGTAATATTTATTTTGATATTTTATTTAATTTTATTTTGGTCAATTGACTGGTCAATTGACCGGTCAATTGACCAAAAACAATTTTACCGGTCAATTCCACAACCCTAGATATGACGACTAAACATTGGCTTTCTTTTACAATAATCCTAAAAAATAAAAGTCAAGATCTTAGGGCTCGTTTTCTGTAAATCTTAATAAGTGTTCAGTTTTCGTAAAAATAAATAACAACAAACAATTAACCGAATAACAGGTTTTTGATTATTAGGTTAATCGATTTGATTATTAAGCGATTAATCGGTTTCGTTTTTTACGATTTTTGTCAGCCTTAGTACGTTAAAACGGACAAAACACTGGAGTTTCTGGCCTTAAAAATTATTCAATCTTTAAAAAACAAAATCTTAAACATTTACTATTTCTGCTCATAAACTATTTTTATTAGTAATAATTGCTTTTTTAAAATTTTGACAACAGTTCATAAAGTCGATTTGACCGATAATTTTTGACACCGACTATACCTATGATGTGTACATCAATAAGCAGAATCAAAGATTGGTAAATAAAGACTTGCCCAATAATATAACATGCTCGTTCGATTACATAATGCAAATACTAAAAAAATTAGGTGAAATTGACCAGAATTAAATAGATTTGTGAAGGTTAACCTGTCTAAGTGTTAATTCACTTTTGTGTTCATAAAAAGACTTCGCTGCAACATGGCGAAGGTCGCAATAAACTATTTGACCAGCACAGGTCTTATTTAAATAAAAACATTTAAAAACTATGCCCTGCAAAAGGTAAATGTCATTCGCATTGATATATTTTGTACAATGTGTTTTTAATTATCGTGGAAACAAATTAATATAGGTACTGTAGTAACTGTTTATAGAAGCAGATGACAACCAGTTTTGTATACAGAATTTATGTAGTTTTTGACTTATCCTATATAATCTTTAGACAAATAAAGAATTATTATGAAAGTTTCTTCAACACCCTGTATTATACATAATTCTTTTTTTAATAATTATAATTTCGTAAACTAATGAACAAGAATTCAACAGGTCTCTTATCATGTTTACATTAAATTTATTAATAACAATACGATTGGGGTATTGAAATATGATAAATTTCAATAAATTATCGTGCTATTCTTATCAATAACATTAAATTATTCATCAATTATTTTTCTTGGAAAATGTCTTTTTAAACAAAAGTAGCCTAAATAATTTTTTTATGACCAACAAAACAATAAGTAAAAATAACAAATTATAATAATTATAAATTTGAAAAATCGGTTGCCAAATCGCACAAAAATATCTTTAAATTGGTTCAGCTTCATGTTTTGTCAAAAACATGTTTGTAAAAAGTAATAATACAAAAAAGTACAATAATTACATTAATTATAATAATAATTCTTAATCTTATTTTAATGCAAAAATAAATATAATCTATACATATAAATAAAATGGAAGCACTTATTTATTGGTCCGGGCTAATCTTCGAAAAGGTTAAGTGATTTTGAGGGGACTTTTATTGGCAGGTAGATGACTTTTCAGAGAACAACATACAAGGCTACTTTTCATCCCCCTAAGGGACAGACAGAAAACAAAACGAAAACAAAACAAAAAGGCAAACATGTTTTTTTTATATTTATTAAATTTAATTTTATTATTCTTTATTGTTAATTCCACTAGGGTTAAAGGATTTTTGTAAATTATAAATATAGTAATAACTTCACTTAATGATTCTCTAAAACTGACTGACATTGACTTTTTTCTACTTTTGTTTTTTTGTAATTATTTAAGTGAGTTAAAAATGGGGGAATGGTCTAGCAAAATCTCACGAAATCTCATTTTTAGGGAGGGGTAGGGTCATTAAAAATCTCACGTCAACTTTTGAGTTAAAGAATATGTTCTATATTTCAATTTTGTTAAAAAAAATATATCTTTTTTTTTACTTTTTTGGGGTTTATCATGTTGTCCGCAAGGAAAGTTTCATGTCTTGAATCTCACGTGAGGGATGGGAGGGGGTCTACCACTTCTAACCAAGGGGGGTCCAAATTATTAGAACAATACCTCACGTAATTAATGGATGTCCCCTAACTTTTTTTACCAATGGAAATGGAAATGGAGATAAAAGGGACAAAAACGGGACAAAACAAAGAAAGACACTTCAATTTTATTTATATGTAAAGATTATCCCTTATTTTTCCTTAGAACCACGGGAGCAAATCCCCGAGTATTCAGCTGGTAATATAATATAATAATTATGTTTGTTGAAATCCCCACCCACAATATTCATACATATATATGTAAATCAGCTATACAAACGTAGGCATATGTTATAATATTAACAAAGATATTAGCGTTGAGTAAAGCGTATACTATACAATTGTATATTATTAATTAACGAAATATATACAGTGTTACCCATTTGTTTGCGACTCGCCCCTGTAAAAAAATTATTTATTGTGCGATTTAAACCGAATTTGTTTTAAAGTGTAGATCAAAAAACACCATATTTTTTACAAAATACAGGTCCTACTATGTCAGTTTTTGAGATTAAATTTTAAAGAATTCATATTGGAGATTTAAAAAAAAAATCTATACACTGCACTGGATTCACCACCTCTCAAAACGACCCTATACTAAATTTTATTGAAAAACTTAAAGTAGGAACGATTTTGTAGCTAAATTAAAAATGGATTAAGTAATTACTATTAACAAAAATTTATTCTGTCAAGTTATCCATGAAAAAACATTGAAATAAAATTAAACTAATAGTACCTAACATGGTATAAATATTCCTATACATACTTAGTTTTGACAAATACAAAACGCAATAAAACATACAATAACAATGAAACATAAAATTCAAAATATTCTCTACAATTAGATTTTTGTCACCCCTACTGCACAAGAACTAAGTGCTAGGGTAATACAAGCCTGTGCAGCTATTACTCCAGAACTAATATGAAAGTGTATTGAAATAAATGGTGGATTATAGTAGAGGTGAGAAAAATCTAATTGTAGGTGAGAAAAATCTAATTGTAGATAATTTTTTAAATTCTTTTGTTTTTTTTGTTTCATTGTTGTTTTAAGTTTTTGTTGCGTTTTTTATTTGTTAAAACTAATCATAAGAATATTTATCCCATGTTATTATTAGTTTAATTTTATATCAATGTTTTTTCTTGGATAACTTGACAGAATAAATTTTTAAATTAGCAACAAAATCGTTCCTACTTAAAAATGTCAAATAAAATTTAGTATAGGGTTGTTTTAAGGGGTGGTGAATCCAGTCCCGAGCATAGATTTTATTTTTTTAAATCGCTAATATGACTTCTTAAAAAATTACTCTCAAAAACTGACTGAGTAAAATGGCGTTTATCAATTTTTCACAAAAATAATTTTGTAAATATGTAGTGTAATTAACGAAATGGTAATATAGGTAATATTTTAAAACATAATAAAATTTTTTTTTTAAATTTATAATTTTACCAATCCAGTTCCAGAGAATTCTATTTTTAATAATACGAGGATCAGTCACTTGTTCCATGACATTTTAAGTAAAGGGTAAAAAAAAACTTATATTTTTTAACATACACTTCGCCAAAGTTTCTTAAATTCTTTTATTCCTTCCAAATTATAAGATTTGTCTAGTTGATTTCATTGCTGGAGACTAATCTCTTTCCGTTTAGTAATTCTTTCAGGCTTGAAAACAGAAAATAGTCACTAGGGCTTAAATCTGGAGAATACGACGAATGAGGGAGAAACTCGGATTGCGGTCGAACAACGCCAAACACTTTTTCAAAATTGTCACACGATCGCGATTGAGTGTGAGCAAACGTATTATTTCAGATGCTGAAAGCTGATCAATTGGGTCAATTAGGTATTTATTTTTATTCACGCTTTTCATAAATATTCAATATAAATTTTTTTATGTTAAGTTGGACCCTAAAAATTTATAAAACAAATCTGCAGATATCTTTAACCTAATGATAATGGACAAAACTATATACATACATATTTCAAATTAAAAAATTGGTCACGTTTCAAATATATATATTATACATATATACCTATATATATATTTTTTTCCAAGACGGTAATTGTTATAATTCTTGAGACAACTCGTTAAATATTTTAGTATGACAATTAAAAAAGGTTTGTGAAAAATTTAAATTTGACTTCTGATATGAAATTACTGAGAATAGCAAACATTTAATCAAAAGACACTAAAAATTTGTAATAGATTATAGGTCAAAATTGACCATATTAATTTGTATAGTCGAATCCGGTCTCATCATAAATAATATCTAGTAAAACCTTTTTTTAATGACTGCACCTGACAAAAGCTAAAACAGATGCAACATTTGCAATTCATGTTTTTGACTGCACTGGAGATGTGCCAAATGTTTTTCAAATATTTGAAATTTAAATATGCAAAATTTAGTAGGTATGTTAATACTTAGAGTAAATTGGTACTAATAATGGGCGAATATTCAAAACCAAACATGCCCATCTTTCAAAAATTTAAAATTTGTAATAACATTATTTTTAGAGGTCTAAAAATAGAAAAATAATTGGATAACGCTTATCAAAAAGGAACCAAGCGCCTAGTAAAATAGTAAAATTATTTGTACGTAAAAGAACTCATATTTAATAATGCACAAAAGGTTAATTATCATTTGGAACTTTTCTCAAAAGGGTTAAGAAGGTTCCCAAATCATTATTAATTTTTTTAACAGCATTAAAAATGAGTTATTTTGCAAATTATTTTGTTTACCCCAGAAAAAGTTTTGATTTTTGACACAGACTGTACAAAAACACATCAGTCAACCCATTGGCGGATCTAGGATTGTTGGCGCTTGGGGCTAGAAGTTTTTTATGAGTATACAAAATTGAGATCTTTTTTTTATTAATATTTTTGAGATCTCCAACTTTTTATTTACCATTTTTAGTCTGAATCAATTTTACTGGGTCAAAATATAAAAAAATATACTTTTTGTTAACTTAACGCACTCTTTTTAGAAACTAAATACAAATATGTTAAAAAATTTCAAGCTCTACACTTAAATCTTAAAACTTTTTTGTCTAACCAATAGGAAACGAGAAAAAAGGAGGAATAGTTTATTTTGAGTATATTCCTAACTAAATTTACTTCCCACAAAAGTTTATAATAACCAAGATACAGGGTGTAAAGTTTGAAAGTTTTGTTTTAGATTTTATTAAAAATAAAAGTTTTTGCACAAAATTTGGTGTTCGGAGTTTTTCAGGATGGAAAAATTCAATTTCTTAAAAAAAAGTGGGTTGTAGAGGGACAATTTATTTCATAACTCAACTGATAATTTAATGCATATTGGATAAATACATAACTTTAAAATTTTGTTTATACAATTTATTAATCAAATCAAATCAAATGTCCATATTGACAAGTGACACTCAATTTCCCTGATTTTTTCGGTTTCTGTAATTTATTTTATTGTATCAATAAAAATGGTTGAGAAAGAGTGAACTTCACTAACTTCACCACAATGTGTAACCTTACAAAACTATCCAAAAATATCGGCACATGCGCATTTCAATCTTATTTATAATTTATTTCATAAAAGTTAAATTTTTTGAACTTTCAAGATTATTCGATGTACACTAAATTGTGAGTTACGGATTAAATCGTTGTATAAACTCTTTCATAGCAGATAGTGCGACTTTTATGCTTATGCACTATATTCTGAATTATGTTGTATTAAGTTGTATAAACCCGCGATTAGTGTATTCTCGTTTTAAAAAATATATAACTTTGTAAATGTCGCTCCAAGTAATCGTTTTTGAGATTTGTGCATTTAAATTTTTTAGTGCACCCCTTTTATTGTGATTAAATGTACCTACTTAAAATAAAAATATTTAAAATTGTTTAAAGAACAATTTCAAATCACAATTAAATGGGTTTAGAAAGTATTCCTTTTTCAAGTAATAAAAATAAAAAAGTGATATTTTATTAAAAACAAAAGCGCAAAAAATGTAACCATTTAAACGTATTCAAAGTGTCGCAGACAGCGCCCTCTACAACCTAAAGTAATTGTTTATAAGAACCACCGACGGTGGACTAGTGGTTAGTGCTGCTGACTAAAAGCCGAGAGGTCGTGGGTTAAAATCCCACCAGGGGTATGGCTGTTTATTTGTGTTTGTCCTATTGTGTAATTGTCCTTCGGACTTTAAGCCCGCGGTCCGTTCCTACCCCTAACCCACTCAAGCCATTCAGTTGGCTTCTGGGACTTCTTAGGAAGTAAGGGTGGAACTAAAAGAGCACTTTTGTATATTTAAAAAATAGGTCCTTTTTTCGCGTGATATGGCGTAAGTGCTCTATTTTTGCAATTTGCATGTAAACAATAATAGTTCAGTAAAAAACATTAAAAATAAGATTTAGCGGATTAGTCAAAATAAAAAATATCTGAATCACAATACACCTCATTTTTGTTAAAAATATATATGTATATAACATGGACAAAATACGTCTCTAAGGTTTTCTTTCATAAAATTAAAATGGTAATTGTTATAAGATAAGATTATAATCTTATCTGATGATTTCTAGATTTTCTTACAAAGATGTTTTGATTTTCTCGAAAAGACTTAATATGGACATATCTGGGTTTGAACGAACGTTCGTCAATTAAATAAATAGTTACTTACTTCTTTGGCTAGATAAGTATATGGCTGCTTGTCTTTGTCATCTAAAAGTGCCCACCATTCTCCCAGTATCTTCGTCACCCCGCGATTCTCCAAGTTCGGATACTTCTGCCTCACCACGGGCCTGTGTTTTTTGCAAAAAATCAAGAAGGCATTCATGGGCCTCCTGGCGTGATGCGAAGGAGAGTCCTCCTTGTCCGTACCGGAAGTTTCCGCCATTTCTGCCGGTGCTTCCGGTTTTACTTCTGGCACCGCCGGAAGTGGTTCTTCTTTAGCTTTGCTTTCCGGTTGAGTAGCGTTGCTGGCCCAGCTGATTTTCTCGTATTGCGGGTTGTCTAACGGCGATTTCGGTTCGAAACTGTACTTGCTCCAAACCTGCTTGATCTTGCTGTGGTTTCCGCTGCCGTTCGATTGGTTGTTGTTTTCCGTCATTTGCTCGGCTCTTTGGTCGTTAACTATTCGGGCACTTTCGGCCATGTGCATCGTACTATTCGTCAACAGGTACGGCTCGTGCGACTTGATAGAGTTGTAATTGTTTTTTTGTATTGATAAGCTCATTTTAGTGTTTCCGATTCTACAGAATTATTTTTAAGTGATGAATACTTTTTTTATTATTTAAATCACACGTGATGATTAGATTGGCACCCTAAAACAAAGAATTGCCTATGGTTATGATTACTTCAAAACTTAATGTTTCTATGAGTAATTAAGATAACAATAATTATGTTACCTACTTTAATTATTATTGTTTTATTTCAATTAATATATCTGTTGAATTGATTTCAAGCTATGTTAATAAAGACTAATTTAAAATTCTTTGTTAGGATTTTTAAAATGTATTTAAAATCTTTTAGCAGTGCTAATTACAGTTATCTTTACTAAATTATCGCCCTTTTGAAACAAAACATGAATAGGTAATTAAAATTTTATCAAAATGATATATTACAATATTACAAAAGAAAAGCACAAAAAAACAAAACTCAAAGACTTAAATATTTATTACCAAGTCCCGTTATTTTTTTTATTTAGCCATCCTAAATATGTAAAAATGGACAGGTTTTTGAATTTAAAAAAAGATTTTTGAATTTAAAAGAAGATATATTGTTAAAAAAATATTCCGTGTGACTAACCAGAAAAATCAGTCGATTTCCGTTATTACTTAAGCAATTTTGTAAAAACAGTGTAATTATTTATTTAAATAAAAAATTGCAAATTTATATTTGAATACAATACCTAAAAATATTTTTTTTATAAATTTTTAATGTGCCTACAGTCCCGATGCGGGACTTAAATTCGATCCCAACTGTCGTCATAATTTTACGATTTTATGTAATTGTTACAATAAAACTAAAACCAACAAAACAATCAACCCAACCAAGAAAGGATTTAATAACATATTATATTAAATTATATTACCGTAGCAAAATGATAATGAGGAAGGGTAAATAATCTAAAATATTAATATAAAATTAAATATTAATGCTAAATTCGCAAAATAAAAATAAAAAAGTTGTGAAGGCGCTAAGTATCGAACCCACACCACATCAAGACAATCAAATCAAATCAAGTCAATTTTATTTCAATATAAAATATACAAAATAAAAAGAAGACAAAGTAAAATGGCGGCAATGTGGTGGTGTGGTTGGCTGTAAAAGGCGCGTGAATATGTAATCCGCCACTAAAATCTCCCTGCGGAAGATCTGCATGATACAAGTTATTTAAGTTGTTTTAATCAGTAATTTTGGATTGAAAAGTTTATGTAAACTTGTATGTTTAATAGCTTCGTTTTCAAGACACCCTGTAAAGTTATTAAAAAATATTAGTGTTGCAACGGTTACGGTTACAGTTACGGTTAATTCACGGTTTTCGATATTATACGGTTAACCGTAACCGTATACGGTATTTACGGTTTTTCATCGAACACGTTTCCGCTTTTGAGATTGTTGGCTTTAACGTATTTATTATGTATAATATATATTATAAATTTTAATTATAATTTATAATACATATTATGTATTATATAATATATTTAAAAAAATAAATAAGTCAAAAGTCAATATTCAAAATTTACGGCAGTCAATTTTTTCTTAAAAAAACATAACATCTGCAAATTCTGCGGAATCAGCCTGTTTCTCTTTGGTTTTGCAAAAGACCTGCAGTCGAAAACAACCTCTCCGAATTCACTGACGATGGTTTGTATACAAAAATTGACTGCCGTAAATTTTGAATATTAACTTTTGACTTTTTTGTTTTTTTTTAAATATATTACTCAGGTACCTACTTAGTTTTTACTGTTTTTAGGTTTAAAATGTTACTCATTTCATTTTTTTTTACATAAATTATTATTTTCTTAATTCTGCATTTTTTTTTAATAAACGTGAATGTATTCGTAACCGTAGAGATAACCGTAATCGTAACCGTAACCGTAAAACCCGGAACCGTTGCATCACTAAAAAATATTTATTTTAAGTTTTAAAATTTTCTTGTCAGAATTTAAAAATGCGTTTTTTGTTACTCATACCATTTATACAATATTTAGGTATGCAGCAATTAAGTGTCCATCTATAATTAAATAACTTAAGATATTTACAAAAGTTGACACCAAAAATCAATCAAAATGCCCCACCTGTCACTTTGGAATGCATACTGTAAGATTTATAATAAATACAACATAACCAAAATTTACTAGTTTAGTTTGTTTATTTAAAAATCAATGTGGCCAATTATAGGCTTATAAGCCTATACTACCTATATGTAATAACATTTGAGTATCTATTTTTTTCAAAACGCGATTTATGTCAAATTGCGGTTTACCCTGCAGGCCTGTGCAAAAAATACCGATTTTCCAAAGATAGTAATTTCACATAAATTGTGGACTTTGGTCCAAGTAGGTACAAATAAAAACATTATTTTGAGGATGCCTTCTTTTTCATTAGCACTTAACAACACAGGTGTAAAATTATAATGTAAAAACGATGAAAACAGTAATTTTGTGATTTATTAAATAAAAACTATAATATAACAAAACAAATATTTATTAATTTTAAATGGGTATACCTTGTGATTCCCAGGCTCTCAATTAATACAGCTTACATTTTAAAACAATAACATACCTACATTGTAATCTATTTTCTGATGTTTACATATTTAATTTTAAAAAATACGTAATGTCGGTAGGTATTTTATTTTACAGGCCTATGCAAATATTTGTTTGTGTTGAAGCAATTTAAACAAAAACAAACAGTTTTATATTAAAACAAAATCTGAACAATCAACAATTTGAAACAAGCTTGAAGTCTTATAAGACAATGCGCTTTTAGTAAAATTAATCAATATTAAAATATTTTATTTGTATGCCAAAATATTTAGGTTAAAAATGAAATTGTTGTGTTTATTTGAGTTTAATTGCGCAATATTACCAGATTTAATTCTGAATATATGTATACCTATATCTATATTAACTTATTTTTTTTAAGAAAAACAAAGCAGACAGCAGTGTGTTGATTTATCTAGGTACTTAGTTTGGAAGTTTCGCTAAAAATAACACAAAAAAGTTAATGACATTCACCTAGCAATAAGTATTTCAAGTAATAAATAAGTACTGCAATATGTCTGATATGATCTATTTATAGATTAACATAAATTCTCATGACTCAATTAAGTATGTATTTATTTTTTTTCACCTCAACTAATCAATGTTTGGTGGAAAAAATGTAAACAATTGAACAAACAATAAATAACGCAGAGCGAAAACAAAATTCAATGGCGGCTGACTGGCTTATTATTTAATAGGTAGTTGGTTGAAATAATAATTGATCGTTTTCAATGTCAACTAGGCGACCAAGAAATTTTTCATCAACATCGAATTTAACAGCGATTGGGAAATAGTGTCCTACTTGCTGACTTTCTCACAAAAATCCACGAGCAGATGGCCATAACGACCATAAGCAATAATAAATAACAAATTAATGAATTAAACACTGTTTAGCTTATATTTGACTTGGCGATCCGATGCAAATATTTTTATAGGTGCAATTTTTCGAAGAAATATCGTTCAAGGACGAATTATCAAACAAATGAAAATGCCAAATTCTTCAATCAAATACACCTTTAAAAACCTAATTATTAATTAAATACCATCAAATTATCACTCGTTACCTCAAAAACTATTAGAAAACGCCTAATTACTACATTAATTTTAAGTAAATCAGTATATTTACCTCAAATCAAATACCCATAGATTTATCACATGACGTCACGCTTACTTAAAATTACAGCGATAGACTTGAATGATTACACCAAAACACACAACTAAAAACAACGTTTACAAATAATAAATTGACGGAAAACACCCGAATTTCAACTTTCTGTCATATTAAAATTCTACAGACCATTTTAATGGACCGCTGACTCTATTTTCAAGATGTCTGTTTGTGTTTAGATTGTCAGCTGTTCCCCACTCTACTCGCGGCCTCCCACCTTTTCATTGGACGATTTTCGTTTTAAAGGAGGATACCGCGTTGCCAGCTTGTGCAAAATATTTCAAATCGATCAAACAATACATGGGCACGGTTTTTATTAAATATTGACATTGATTCATTCTCATTAGTTCAACAAATATTAAACATCTTTTAATAAATAACAATTTATTTATTTAAAAGCCTTAAGCTTTATTCAGAGTTTGTTTTTTGTTCCTTAATGGTCCTTCGTGAAGAAATATCGAAAAATAAAAAATATTCACTTTTTAAAATAGTTACCTATGCAACTGTATGTACAGTAAAATATTAATAGGTTTAATTTAGATTAATTAATTAGTTATTAAAAGCTAAAAAGCTAAACCAGTGTCAACTGTAAACACTATAATAGTATACTATATAACTATAAACACTATAATAGTATAATAGTACAACTGTATACAGTTAACAGCAATTGCTGTTCCTATTACAATTATTGTAATTATTTTCAAGCGTTCTATAATTTAACTGAACTATTGTCAACACTCATTGCTTAAGTGATTAATGAATTGACTATCACCTAGCCTATAGGCTATGAAAATAATTTAGACCAATCTGGTAAAGGCGTTTGGACCATTAAAAAAATTCGATCGAACTACTGTCAGATCTATCTAACCTCACTTTATACTTTTAATATTTTAACGTTTTATTAATTAAAAATTAATTTCCTAATCAGATTAATAAGAATAATAATTAATAAGAATAATCACTCACCTTAACGACAGAAAATCAACAAAAAGAGATTAAATAAGTGAAGTAAAGAGAATTTTACAAAAATTAAACCATTTATCGCAACTTTTAATTAAATGAATTATCAAATGTGTGGGTTGTTTCCGCGCTATAAACTTATTATGTAAATCAATGTAGACCCATTAGTAAAATTATTTATCTTTAATAACTTCTAAGTTATATTACTTTATTACATTATACTTAATTAACAAAATAAATATTTTATAAATCTGGATTCCACTAACCCACTTATAATATTAGATCTGGCAACATGGCACATTTATGATTTAAGTTAAATCATTTAACTCGAATAAATAATTACTAATTAGGTATAAATTTTTGCAGTTTTGGTATAAAACATGCATTATTTTTAGCTTTGATGATATAAATGTTAGTTGGTTATTATATTTGAACAAGTCGTATTGTTATTATGCAAAAAGTAGGCGTTTCCAATTTGACAAACATTTGTATTTATTTTTATAAATAAGCTATGAAAACATTCAGGTAGAAACGTGTTTGATATGATTTATCATCGTTTGTTTATTTATTTATTTATGTTTTATGATTTCAAATAATAATAACTGTTAACTAAGGCCTTATAAGTTAACTTTATAATTATAACTTTATTGCAAATAGGTACAATTGTATAAAACTATAATAGGTAATAATAATAATAATTATAACTTTATTGCAAATAGGTACAATTGTATAAAACTCAATTGATACATAAAATACTATATTGTATATTAATATACAATATAGTATATTATGTACCTATAAAGTTTTATAAACGCTATTTTAGTTACAAGTTTTATTAGGAACCTGCGAAGCTTGCGAGCGACTGTTCAATAAAAACGAATATCTAGAAACAATTGTTGCATACTATATACTTATACTATACCTACTGTATACAGTATATTTTATCTACGACGAACACAAAAAAGAATTTAAAGCCAATTTTGTTTGTTAAAAAGTTGACATAATATGTCAGTTATGTTAATGGATTTTTTCTACTCCCACCTTTAAAACGCCCTTTGTCGTACATGTTTTCATGTGACCTTTTAAATACACATTGACAAGTTGTGGCTTTATGGCGCTTTAGTCACGGGCTGAAGTTGGCAACAGGTTTTTAGTCACGGGCTGAAGTTAGTTTTATGTTAGGTAGTTGACAGTTGTCACACAATCGTTAAAATAAAGTGCCTTTCTTGTGAAATAATACTAAATATGAACATTATTTTATTATCTCAATACAAAAATACAAAAGTATTAAATAGTTTCTCAACGCCAATATTTTATATGAACATTGTACTGACCTTTTAATTTCGCCGGCAGTAAACTATAACTTAAATTCGGGCACGGACTCCACTATAAAGTACACATAAAACATTTTCTTTACTTTATTGAATTCACTGTGAAAAACTGTCAATTTTCAAGAAATACATTTCGATTTATAACCTTTATACTCTGTGTTTATAAAATATAAAAATTTGACATTTGACGGTGACACACAGATTCCCCTATTGTTTCATAGATGGCGCTCTATACAAAGTTTTGATTTAAATCATTTTAAGATAATAATAGGTATTTGTCGTAGAAAAAGTATAGTATGCACCTCGTTTATAAACTTTTCTATACACTCATTAATTTAAGCACTCGCTCGCAAGCTCGCTCGTCCCTAAATTAAATTCGTGTATAAGATGGCGTTTATCAAACTTGATACATAATATACTATTATCTACTCATACATTGACAAGCTGTTACTTTATGGCGTTTTAGTCACGGGCTAAAGTTAGCTTTATTATAAAGGGGAAAAAAGCGAGGTTAAATCCGTTGACAGTTGACACATGTCAAATTTTGAACAAATTAAATTTGCTCTAAATTCTTCTTTGTGTTCGTCGTAGATAAAGTAGAGTATGCAACTCGTTTTATAAACTTCTCCAGACAATCGTTTTTATTAAAAACTCGCTCGTGCCCAGAGCTGCAACAAGTCAGTTTTAAAAAGACTTAAATCTTAAGTCTTAAGTCAATTCTAAAATCAAAATGATTTAAATCTTAAGTCAATTCTAAGATAAAGTTCAAATGATTTAAGTATTAAGTCTTTGAATTAAATCATTTTCTTTCAAGTCAAGTCATTTTCGCAAATTCTTAAATCAATATAAAGTGATTTAAGTCATCTTATGACTTAATTCCTTTAGTAAGTCGTTTTTATGACTTAAGTCTATATTTTTTATTTAAATCGTGATCTAAGAGTTAAGTCAATAAAATGACTTGAATCAAAAATTGTGATTTAAATCAAAATAATTACCCTTAAGTCAATACAACGATTTTTTAAATGTTAATAATAACTTTATGGTATTAATAATACTGATATTATTAATATAGTTTAGATACAGATGATAATAAACCACTATGTTAAGAATTTAACACGATTTATTTTCAGAACACTTAGAAACAAAATAAAAACTTAAAACACATTTTTTGAGTAGACAATCAAAATAAAAACTTAAACCACCTTTTTTAGTAGAGTACATACAGGGAGGCTACTTTTTTATATACATAAATGGGTAACTTCTAAACGGTAATAGATTCAAACTCTGTTAAAATAGATAAAAGTCACAAATTAGACCTAACGCACGCATAACACGACGAATGTTGGCAAACAAAATTATAAATCCGCATTTTTTTAAATTTATTTTAGACAGGACATTTTTTAATGTAGCCGTCAAACGGTTCCGAAAAGCTAACTTTACCGCGGCGGTTTTTTTATTCACTAGCGATAGCAATTGTAGGTAGGAAATTAAAGGAGTTTTTGATCTGCTGCCGCGTGAACCCCTGGCAGATCAAAAGAAAATGCCGCTGTTAAAAATTTATAAAAAAATATATGAAAAATCTGACTTAAATATTTTCTAAAAAGACTTAAATCTTTTTCAAAAAGACTTAAATCTTTTTAAATTACTTAAATAATTTACCGACTTTTATAAAGACTTAAATCTTTTTTTGACTTAAATCGTTTCTATATGACTTAAATCGTATGTACTGATTTAAGCCTTTTATTAATGACTTAAGTTTTTTCTATTTTGAAAAAAATATTTAAGTCACAAATCATTTTGAAAATTATTTAAATTTTAAGTCTTAAGTCAGTTTTAGAGAAATGACTTATTACCAAATGACTTAAGTCATTAAAACGATTTAAATCAAAAAAACGATTTAAGTTTTTTGAGAGCTTGCAGCTCTGCTCGTGCCTAGTAAAACTCGTAACTAAAATGGCACATAATAATATTATTATATACACACATAATAATATTATTATATATTATACTATATATATATATAACTATAGTTATAACCACAATAATGGATTGTGGTTATAACCTTACTTTTTCCCAATTTATAACACTGTGCGACAAATTTTGACCTTACAATTTGAACTGGGATGAAATGTGGAAAAATCGAATCTATGCAACCCCCAAAACTAATCTTTAAAGGGGTTTAGCTAGTTTAGCTCGAATAATGGAGATATACAGGGTGTTTCCTTTAACTTGAGACAGCTCAATATCTCGAGAAATATGCATTTCACGGAAAAATGTCTTAAATAAAAGGTTAATGTGAACAAAGGGGACATTATTTGGTGCTACCGCTAGCCACCCCCTACCCCTCCTTAAGGGTGAAACGGGGGGTAACTTTGGAAAGTCAAATGGAATGACCCGATTTTTTTTACAGAGTTTGGTAGTACATAAAAAAATGAATAACTTTTATTTAAAAGTTTTTTTCAATTTATCAACAGATGGCGCTGTAATTCAAAATTTAAGAAAAAGGGGTTTCCTTGTAAAATGTATTATTTGAAACGTTTGAAAAACAAAAATTAACATTAAATCAACATTTGTTATAAATTGTTTTCATAACCGACTATTGTTGTTAATGTTAATTTTTGTTTTTCAAACGTTTCAAATAATACATTTTACAAGGAAACTCATTTTTCTTAAATTTTGAATTACAGCGCCATCTGTTGATAAATTGAAAAAAGTTTTAAATAAGTTATTTATTTTTTATGTACTACCAAACTCTGTGAAAAAAATCGGGTAATTCCATTTGACTTTCCAAAGTTACGCCTCGTTTCACCCTTAAGGAGGGGTAGGGGGTGGCTAGCGGTAGCACCAAATAATGTCCCCTTTAGTCACATTAACCTTTTATCTAAGACATTTTTCCGTGAAATGCGTATTTCTAGAGATATTGAGCTGTCTCAAGTTAAAAGAAACACCCTGTACATATATATATGTATATCTCCATTATTCGAGCTAAACTGGTAAAACCCCTTAAAGGATTTGTTTTGGGGGTTGCCTAGATTTGATTTTTTCAGATTTGATCCCAGTTCATTTTTTGTGTTGCACAGTGTAATAAAGACAACTTCAGCCCGGCCACGGCCGTGACTAAAATGCCCAAAAACTATTGTTGCTAGCTTGACTAAAACGCAAAGTCACAGTTTATCAATGGGGAAGTAGTATAGGATCTATTGAATTATTGGTAAACCAATAATTCAATAGATATTGAACAATTTTTTTTTATAATAAAAATGTTTTGACAGAAAACAAGTCTAAGCAAACTTGGGGCCCCATATATTTGCAGCTCCGGCCTCCAAAAAATATAGTAATAATTTCTCTGGATTTCTACAAAATAAATTTACCTATAGGCAAAGATCTTTGCCTATACTTAGGTACTAGAAAGAAAGAAAGAAAAAATATATTCTTTCTTTCTTCGATGTGGCTTCCGTCCCGAGGCGGGACTTAACTTCGATCCCAACAGACGTCACACACTGTAAATCCGTTTTTATTTCCCGAGCTTTTATAATTGGTGTCAAGCTGGATGGCTTAGATGGTAGGGCGGTCGCTTGGCATGCGAGAGGTACCGGGTTCGATTCTACTAGAAGTTGTCAAACTTTTTTTATTTTTTTTATTTTATAAATTTGTTGTTTCTTTGTTAAAAAGTGTTTTATTTCATCGTAACATAAATTTGCCCATTTTAGTTAGGTTTTTTGCTCAATGGGGCGGGGGGGGGGCCCAATGGGGTGGGGTCGGTTGGGTTGTGTTGTTGAGTTTGGGTTGGTTTGGTTTTATGACGTAACTAACGTGCCCTTAACATGTATACAGGTACAATTTATTATTATTATTTTATTATAACATACGATGTGGCTCCCGTCCCGAGGCGGGACTTAAGTTCAGTCCCGATTGACGTCACACACTGTAAATCCGTTTTTATTCCCCGAGATTTTATAATTTGTGTCAAGCTCGATGGCTTAGATGGTAGGGCGGTCGCTATACAATAAATTATCAAAAAGCATAATCTGACAGTCTCCAATTTTTACACACAAAACAACTAAACAATATTGCCCCTGTATCGGATAAGCGAAGGGAATGGCGAGCTGCGAGACAATTTTAAATTGTATCATGGTTTCGGGTAGGCCAAAACATCGGCCAGGGGGGTTGCTATATTGCGCTACAGCGTATATATAGTAACCTCCTTTATGATGAACATTACGTGCCAGGCACATTTGTTTTGTTCATTTTATTTATACACCTCTTATTTATACCTGGAATTATTTTTACAATTTACATTTTATACAATAACTTGAATAAATATTTTTGATTTGATTTGATTTGCGGTCGCTTGGCATGCGAGAGGTACCGGGTTCGATTCTACTAGAAGTTGTCAAACTTTTTTTATTTTTTTTATTTTATAAATTTGTTGTTTCTTTGTTAAAAAGTGATTTATTTTTATCGTAACATAAATTTGCCCATTTTAGTTGTGTTTTTTGCTCAATGGGGCGGGGGGGGCCCAATGGGGCGGGGTCGGTTGGTTTGTGTTGTTGAGTTTGGGTTGGTTTGGTTTTATGACGTAACTAAAGTGCCCTTAACATGTATACAGGTACAATTTATTATTATTATTATTTTATTATAACATAACAAATCTTAAAATTATGACGTCAATCGGGACTGAACTTAAGTCCCGCCTCGGGACGGGAGCCACAGCGTTCTTTCTTTCTATAGAAAGAAAGAACGCTGTGGCTCCGCTATAGTCCGCCACTGCATTTTAAACATTTAAAATAGAAAACAAAAGCGTTGAGTGAAGACGTCTTTTTTAATCAATGATAGAAGGATGAATTGGGGCAATATATAACAAATAAAAAACAGGTATTTTTTAACGTATAAAAACATTTATTATATAAATTTCTGCCTTAGGTAAATCTAATTATGGCTAATTCTAAAATATGTGTGCACCTAGGGTGCCCTAAAAGTTACCACACCCAAAAATTGGCCAAAAATAAATCAATAATAAATAGTTTAGTATTTGTATTTAAATTTCAAGGTTATTTAAATAAGTATGTCATAAATGCGTAAAAATGTTTAATTTTAATTTTAATAACAACAATTAAATCGCATTGCCATTTTTTTATTTGAACAAAAAATTCCTTGAAATATATTGAAAAAATATATATGAAACTCTATTTCAAAAAATATTCAATTGCACAATAAATTTAGTAAAATAAAACCAAAATTTATAAAAAACTTGAGTTTGTAGAAAATTGTCAAAATGTCTATAAAATTGTATAAAAGGCTAATATTTTATCCATTATTATATTGCAAAATTAAATTATTAAAGGTGGACCCGGAATTTAAAAATTGATTTAAAAGGTATACCGTATATTACGCTCATTTTTGGGAACATTCTGTGTAAAAGATTTTAGTCAAATTTAATCTTTTTTTTTTTAATATAAAAAAATACCAACACCTGGTTTGAAATTACAATTTTGTAAAAAATAGATGCAATGTTTAAATTTTCAAAAGGTATTTTTGGGTTTTATTTTGGTTTAAAGGATAATCCATATTACGGTTTATAGTTATTATAAAAATCGCATAACTGTTTAGTTATCACAAATTATTTGAAAACAAAAAGTAACCTCTAAAACAAATAAATTTTATAAGACATGCACAATACTCAAAATATGGTCGTGATTTTGCTATTGCGCATGTACCTGACAAAACTGTATGTATGTACAAAAATATGTCACATTAAAACAAACTTTTTTTAAAATATCCCTAGTTCAGTCAACAAAATGTTGTACTTTTGGACTAGTTAGGAAGTCCCCACAATTAATGGAATTAATCTTGTAGCAAAGTTCGTCAGCTTTAATTTTGTATACAATTTATTTATCACTAGGATCCATAGTTTCTGAGTTATAAGCGATCTTGTGAATTATTCAGGGGCCACCATAAAATAATCTATATTTTTATCAAGCTCTAGGTATAAATACTTATTTTAACATTTAAACGACTATTGAATAATTGCTATTCCTAGTTACAAAAAAGAGGTCTGTTCATTGCTCTTTCCTAGTAACATACAGCAACATTTCAATTTGTAATATAGCCTTCTATAAACGGGCCTATAGGGTTTTATAAAAAGTATTAGTCTCAAGAAAACGTTAAATTCTAAATGTAAATCATAAACACCTTGTACATAAAATGTAGGCAGTTACTTCAGTAGGTAATTAGTGTTATTTAATAACTAATTACCTTATTATATGCCATATAATATATGGTTTAATTAACCTCATATTCAGAAATAATGTTTATCACAAAACAGTAGTTGAATATAATATTTTCAAGTGGTTAATTTAGTTTTTATTTGTAATCTAATAAAACCAACATGAAAACTGTGTAAATCAGTTCTGGTTTAAGTAAATAAAGCAAATCTAATGTTGCCTTCTTTCATACATTCTATCATCCATACCATCAGACTCTGTTACTAAAGCCCTTTCCAAAATAACTCGACCCTCCTTGTACTTCTGATTTTCTTCGGTGGCAAATTCATACATCCAACCCAATTTTGAATCACAGGACTTACAAGAAACATCCCTTACCTAAAAAACACAATTGCACAAATAATTAATTTAAGTATCACTTAAACAATTTAGGGGCTTATTTCCTTTCTAGCTGTTTACCCTTGTGAAAAAAACTCTCTAATTTTGGGTGTTTACACCCAAATTTCAGTGTTTAAACCTAAATTTGAGTATATACACTTAAGAATCTAGTGTTAACTCTCAAATTTAAGTGTTTATACTCAACCATTCGGTGTGAACTCTCAAATTTGAGTGTATACACTTAACGGTCCAGTGTTTACCCTCAAACTTGGGTGTTAATTCTCAAATATGAGTGTTTATACTCAACTATTCTGGGTGTACTCTGAAACTTGAGTATTTATACTCAATTATTCAGTGTAAACTCAAGTTTAATTAAGCGTGCACGCACAGTCACCGTTTTTTTTCATGTGCTTTAAAGACAAATTTTCGATATAAAATACAATCTCAATAATTTTTTTATTAACTAAGCATTAACTAAGCCAAAAAATTAAAAAGCGATCTCGGTGCAAATTGCCAAATATAGTCATTTGAGCCCTCAAATAAATCTTAACACTTATGTTTAGAGTTACACCTAAATTGAGCATAATACATTTTGGGTGTCGCTTTAATTTTGAGAGTTTAGATTTATTTAAGTGTTACACTCAAATTAAGTGTTACACCTAAATAGAGTATAACACCCAAAGTCAGATTACTCTCAAATGGAGCGTACGAAATTAAGTGTTTCTTTGGACACTGAACTTGAGTGTAAAAACTCAAAATTTGCGAGTTTTTTTGACAAGGGTATAAACACCAGTTTCTTTACATGTATGTTTCCTAACGACAACCCAAACATCGCCTATGTTAAATGCTATTCCGTTTTGCGTATGTTTAAGCACTTTCTGGTTCTTAGGACACAGCAACTCTCTGCTTCTTAGGAGACAGCAGAGACTAAAGTCTCTGGTACTTAGTTTTATATCCTAAAAGTGTGTTATATTTTGTTACAAAAATTGTCGTGCAAACAACCTAAAATATTGTATATATTTCAGGTATTTTAGAAACGGAATAGCAAATTAAACATCCATGATCCTTAGATAAGGGCACGGTTAATAAATGTAGTTAATAAACATGCATGCTTAGAGAAAGGGAATAAGCACCTTAGTTTAATTAAGTAATACTTGGCGTTTTGTGGTAGTCATTTTATTACTTAAGTGTATCTTTAATTAAAAATAAATTACTAATTATTTTTAGTATTACGTAATTTATTTTTAATTTTATATTACACTTAACTATAGTTAAGTATACTAGCACTCTTAAGAATTCTAAAGTATTACTAAAGTAATGTTGGGCCAAACAGTGTGACTCAATACTTTTAGTTTAATTTAAATTTATTTTAAAAATAATTTAAATTATAAATCACAATCCATATAGGGAGCTTTGGGCACTATAAGAAAATATTGAAAAAATTCTAGGTTTTAGTCTACTTAATGCTTTATTAAGGAGCTATGCCCCTTAAAAAAAACACTAAACATTTACATTTAATTTATTATCTCAGGTGTGCTTTAACAAAATGTTGGCACACACATTTAAGAAATGCAACATTTCCAAATAGGGGGGTCATGGGGCATCACCTACAATTTTATTTTTTGTTATGTTATTGGGCATTTTGGTTCCATTTTATGTATTTTTACTTAATTTTACACAAAAAAGTCTTCTTGTTTAAAAGGTCTAAAACCAACACATGAAAAAATACTAAAACCAATCAAAACCCTTCAAAATAAATCAATCAATAATCTTTATTGCTTACCCGTTGGGTAGCATACACAGGATTTGTATAGAAACTTTAACATTATGCCTTTGGACAATATTTATAAATATAAAGTTTGTTCCTTTATTGCAGAATGTCAGAAATAATAAAAAACATTATAATCTAAAAGTAATTTTTAGAAATTAAATACATAGCTACAATTGTTAACACTAGAAACGTTAATTTGGACTTGATACAAATTAGCTCCAGGTAAGGACAGAACTCTATATTGTATAGAGGCTTAAATTAAGCCGCTTAATTACAAACTCGTATAACCTTGCCTGACGATGTCAAATCCGTAAACAATGGTAAGGCTTTAAAAAAATGTCATCCATGATAAATACTTGTTTGTGGTAAATAAATGTTTGTGGCTATGCTGGATGCATGTTATAAATATTTGTATATGAGCATGTGAACATGTGTTATAATCAGGGACCCGGACCCAAATGAAATAACGGTTCCTGTCCGGTTTCGGTTCCGAGAGAAATGACAAATTTCGCTTCGGGTTCAGTTACGGTTCCAAAAAAAATATTTCTGTCCGGTTCGGACCAATCTGTTCGCTCGATACGGTTTTTTCGGTTCCAATTTTTTTAACAAGTAGGTAATATATACAAAAATGAAAAATTTATGTTTTTTGTAATTTTTTTCGGCTCCAATTTTATAAAATAAAAAAAACAGTTTTTTTTGTAAATTTTTTTTGGCATGTAATTAGATTACTTTGTCTATTATTTTTTTCAAATCAGGTTTTTCAATTTTATGCTCTTCATTCTCTTTTTCTTTACTTTTATTCTCCATCGGCTTGCTTCAACTTTTTCTTCTGATCTTGCGATTAAAAAACTGGAAAATTCATATTTAAAATAAGTTATCCAAAAATAAAAAAACTGAACTTTCAGCTTTTGTTCTTATTTTTTCTCCAAAAATTCTGTTGGTTCTCACAAATAATTGTTCCTCTAGTTTTTTTTTGTTTGATCTTGTTGGGGGAAGTAAAAATTTGTGACCAGAAAACAGCCTTTTAACTCTTACTTACTTGTGTTGCAAGTGTCATAAGTATACATAATACTAGGCAACACCTTAGAAGTTTTTTCTTCTAAGGGCAACACTGAAATTAATAAATCCCCACTACAAATGTAGGTACCTACCACCCATGCTAGTCAAGATACCTACATACACCTGCTGCTAGCCATTTTAATAAATCAGTCTTCAACCTACTGTGGTATTATTTACTTCATGGCGCAGTCAGTAGGATATTTTGTAGACATATGACATTTTTCTTTTTCCAATAAAGTTATTTTAATTTACATTTACAATAATTATTTATACTACATTTACAATAATTATATACACAACATTTACAATTGGTATTAACACAGTAGGAACGCTAACAATACTTGTGCACTCTAGCAGGCCTTCAAGTGTAGTCAGATTTTCGGATTTTGTCAGATTTTATTTTCTTAGTCAGATTTAATCAGTTTATTAGCTCAAAAGTCAGATTTGGTTAGATTTTCTTCAATTTGCCTGTTTGTATCAATAACGGGCAAAATTTAAATGCAATATACAAAATCAGTTCAAATTTTTATCAGAACTTAAAATGTATCATACATTTTAAGTTAATAAGATTTAATTTAAATTTTCCCGTTTCGATGTAATGTGCGGTGATCGGTAATGCAGATCGCACATGACTTGTCAATCTTTCATCCTTTTTCTATGCGTTCATCATGCAATTGACAGATTCACGTAATTAACGGCACAGATTATACAACTTAACGGTATCGGTTGTTTATGTCATGTATGGGTGTATTTGAAGCAGAAAATCAGTAAAGGAGAGTAGTTTGGCTGGGGAGGAATTGGTAAAACAGGCAAACAAAAGACTGGAGGAGGCCCTTTGTAACAAAAATTTACATGAAGTAAGAATAGCCCAAGGTATGTTAGAAGGATACAGGCAATGAAACAGAAAGAAAAGAATGACGTTAAAGATCTTCAAAAAATTGAGAAGAACTTGAGTCTCAAAAGAACCAAGTTAATGGAAAAATTGACATTTCAAAAAAATTAAAACGTGACGTGGTGTGATTAGGTAACCATATTTATATTGGGATTTTTTATTTATTTCTATTAACGTTTTAGAGAATTTATTTTTGTTATTGTTTCACTTATAATTTATTTTACTAATGCCTGGTTTATGCAGACTTAAAACTTAAGACTTAAGACTTAACATTTAACAATTAAGAAGTTAAAAGTTAGGTTATTTCATTGATTTCCTTTAAGGTCGTTTATGCACCATTTAAGACTTAAGACTTAACATTTAAGAACTAAGAAAAATGACCTTGAAAGATAATAAACTTTTATCTTTCTTAAGTCTTAATTTTTAATTCTTAAATGAAATCGCATTTGCGCAAGCGTTAACTAGGGAATTTTAAATTAAACTGTTTCTTTTTCTATGGTTGTTGTAACTGAAAATTTAAAAATTCGTGTTTCATGTTTTTCTTGAAATTACTGTGCTAAAACGATAGATAGTTTGGATCCATTTTAGATTAAACTAGTAAACACAGATTATAAAAAACGTTGATAAACAAAAATATACGCATTCGCAAAACACAACAGTAAAATTTCAATATTAATTGGCATTTTAATGTTGGTAGTACCAACTTGATACCACGTGATATTTTTATCGATTTTGATTGGTTACTCCTTAAGTTTTAAGTCTTAAGATAAATGCTGCATGAACGCCACAATTTTCGCTTAATTTTTAATTCTTAAGTCTTAAATGTTAAGTTTTAAGTCTTAAGTCTGCATAAACCCACCATAAGAATGAATAGTAATGACTGAGATTACGTTTTGTTTATATACCTAGTATTAAATTAAAATTTTTAAAATAGCTGTCTTATTTGTAGACCTTGTAACAAAAAATTATTGCGTGTGAAGGGCTGGTTGGTGCCCTAGGTGCCTACTGATTTTTGAATCAAAAATTGCGTCGTTGATTTTTGAATTAAAAATTTTGATCAGATTTTAGTCAGATTTTTTTAAAAAAGTAGTCAGTTAATCAGATTTTTTTTTTAATATTTTACTTGAAGGCCTGTAGAGTGTATAATTTATAGATTAATAGCCCGTGCTCAAATATGTTTTTGCAAAAACTAATTTTAACAAAACAAATTTTTTTGCTATACACCCAGAAGAGTCATGAGGGAGGTAGGACGGGAGGGATAGACAGTTTGGTGTTTGGGGGACAATTACGCCGACTCAAATCTAAGTACGACGCGGAATCCCCCTAGACCGGGAAGTTAGTATTACTCCAAACATTTGGGATTACTGTTTGGAGTTGGGGAGTTGTTAGTTCACTGCAGGGGCCTAGTTTACTGGTCGTGGTTAACGTCTTGACCTTTTTGTGTCTGTCCGTGTCGGGTTGTTCCTGCACTTGTTATTGTCTTGTCTCAGCTATTTTCTTTCGCGTTGCAATCCTATATTTCTAGCGAAAAGTGCCTCATTTAGGGTTTTTAAAGGTACCTGTCATGGTGGCAAATAATATTAGGTCATGCAGATGTTTAAGGTTACTGCGAGAATTGCAAATTGGACTTTCCTCCCTTGGTTATCCTCTTTTGTTTGTCTCATGAAAAGCAACCAAATGCGTGGTTAGACCGCGGTCGACCACCCGTAAGGTGTCTCTACACCTCAACTTCAACACTTCCCCGACCTAAGGGTGGTCTACACACACTAGTTGCCACACTACAGACTATTTGCACTTTATAGAAATCATTTCGAGCTTTGCTGTTTGTAAGTTTCAAGAGCGCGATACAGCCAAATGCAACTTAGACGAGTACTCGAACGTGACTATAGGTCCGGTCTGGGTCCCTGGTTATAATAAGCATAAGAGTGATATTTTATAATAAATATATTTTGTTATTTGCAAAGATTTGTGACTAAAATGTGATAATTATAAATGAGATAATGGTGATATATAGTTATATACTAAAAATGTAATGTGTAAATAAAGGTGTCCCTCAATTAACAAGCTCACATTGTTTCTTGGGATTAATAATAGTACTAGAGGTGGCAAGTTTGATTCCGATTCGTTCAAAAAGAACGAATCATTTAAATGAATCGAATGAATCGAACAAAGATTGTAAAAGAATCAATCACTCAGTGAACTAAAAAGTGAATCACACCATAATAGTTATTTACGATATAAGTGGGATAAGAGCTTTATTAACGTACGCATGCGAAATTTGCCCAACGAGTGCGTAGCACGAGTTGGGCAATCGCAAAAGTACGTTAATAAAGCGTTATCACACGTATATTGTACAAATTTTTATCTACGCCTCTAAATGAAAAAATAAACGGTAATTATTTTTGTCTAAGACTTAATTTAGGGTTATTTTGACATTTTGACTTTTTTATTTGATTGGTTAAACGCAGAGAAAAGCGCGTGCGTTAATGAACTTCTTATCTCACTCAAAATGAGTGGGATAAGAAGTTCTTATCTCACTGGCGTAGATAAAATAAATAAAAACTTGGTTACAAGCACTGAATTAAATGCTAGGTTCGGATCACCCTACACTACGCTAAAATATTTTACGGACATATGTCGGTCTTTTGAATAACTGGTGATATTTCTAGGGATATTTCAGGGAATTTTTTGTCAAATATCAAAATACTTTTTTGATTCAAAAGTTTCCAATACAACCTACTTGTATTTTGTTTTTTTTTTTATATAAGCTGTAATGTTATTGCACCGGAAAAGCCATAGGTTAATTTACACGTAAGCAAAATAAAAATCGAATCCAATAATTTAATAATACAACCGTTGATTCATTTAACGATACAACCAATACAAGTCATCATTACAAAACAATTCAAGAACCAAGTCATTAATTCGGTCGAACCTGAATTGTTCCTGAACCAGAAAGTGAATCAGTGGCGAACGAATCTTTATGAACGAATCATTTTACAAGAATGAATTAAATAGTACCTATATACTTAGTATATATATATTATACTATATACGGCCCAAGACGCAAACCTCATCCTTGTGAATAGTAGCCTACATTATCTCTCGAATAATAATATATATTATTATACGAGAGATAATGCGCATTATTTCGAGTGTAATACTATGCTTTTTCTACTCCAATTAAGTAATTTTCATTACTAACAAAATTTATTATAACCCCAATTTCTTCCGATTTTAAAGATCATTATAGGTAGTTGCCCCTCGTATATATAAAAATCTGACATCTGTTAACCTTACTTTTTCCCAATTTAAAACCCGATTGGTTTAAATAACAGTAAATTTTGAAATCAGCCAATCACTGATTCCTAACAACGTGAATAATGAGTTCATTATTCCAGTTGTTATGCGGGGAGGTTATATTGTTTACCGTTATTTAAGGAAAAAACCCAAATAATATTAATAATATGCAATAGGAGTAGAAGAAGTATTTTATTATTATTATTATTATTATTAACAGTCGTTTCGAGTTAAACGAAGTCATATAAACAGACTAAAGGGCTCAACGACACATTAATAATCTTTGCACAATGGGGTAAAATAATTTGTGTATAAATATAAGTTTACTACTGGAAAGGAGCAGCTGAATGTTCCTTGAAGTAAGCTGTTTATTTAGAACAACTCTACATGAACGGCAATACTTTGAAACTGAAGACAAGTAAAGGTTTCACACAGTTGGGTAAATAATTTGCTCATATCTGCCTCCTAAAGCCAGCTATTAAATACGAGAGGAGACGGATACAGAAGAAAAAGAAACAATATAACAACCGCAAGCATGTCCCCCAAGAGCTTGGAGTGTATACTATATTACTAAACGCCCCAGCCCCGGTCTGGGGGGATTCCGAGTCGTATCTAGGTTAACCCAAATTTAGGTCGGCTTTATTTTTCCCTGAAAACAAAAAATGCTCCCTGCTCCCCTAGCCCTCTGAGCACAAAGTGGGTATCGGTTGAACGCGCATATAATGCTCTGTGCGCATGTCCCCGCCACTTAATTTCAAATTAACTCACGAAATGATTTATTTCTCACGCCATGAGCTCAGGTGATACACAAATGAGAAAAATACATGAGAAATCACGGCGTAAGAAACTGAGAAAAATCTGGACTCAGGGTACTTAAATATAAGATAAGATTTAAAATAAATAATTCAAAATAATTTTATTTAAGTGATACTTAAATTTGAAAACTCTGGAAAACAAATTTTAAATAATAAATCTTACCATATGTCTCCCAGTTAACATAACTCTATCTTGGACCTCACTATAGGTCAAGTTGACCACTCGGTTAAACAGAAATGCTCTGCCAGTGGCTCCTGTGAATCTTGTACTTATTAATTCATCTCGGTTTGTTAAATTTGTGTCACATCTTGCACATGAGAACAATCGGTTTCCACCCATATGTTCCAAAAATATTTTGCCCATTATGACTAAAGCATACAAGTGTTAAAAATCCTAAAGCAATATCAAAATATTTTTTTATTTATTTGGAGTATTTTACTAGCATTCAAAGTTTTTTTAATATAAATGGGTGGGTAAATGGTATTTCTATTTCAAATTTATTGTCATGACAAATATTCTAGTAATTTGCAATAATGTATTAAAAACACTTAAGTCATTTTATTTAATCTAGACATAGGTACCCTATATAGGTAGTTTCATTTATTATATTTTTATGGTTACATAGCAATTATAGGCATAGAAAAATAATAATATATTATAGGTTTATATTTACATTGCAATTATAGGTTTCTACCAAAGATAAAGGTTTATACATAAGGCAATGCAAGATGCTTGCAATAAAGTTTTTAATTGTGTATGCAAAGGCAATTGCCTCAACTTAAGTCACGAAATAATTGATAGAATGTGTTCTATTTTACAATCTTACTTTAAACCTTGTATTATTTAGTTTTGTTCACTGAATTTTAATACTTTGAATGCTTATGTTGCGCAAGACTTGCATTGTGTAACATATGGTCTTTGCATTGCAACTTGCAATCCCTTGTGAGTGTCTTGCATTGCCTGGATCTTGCGTCGTGTAAAGCGGCTTTTACATTTGCATTAACTAAACCCCCAAATGTTTGACCTGATAATAACCTTATTTTAAGGCAATGACCTTTAAATAGAACATTTAAAACTAAATCATGGGTTTAAAAAGCCCGTGTGCATTGCAAGAATGATATTTATAAAACAAATGTTTTCAAACAAAGCAAAATAACGTTCTACAAAAATACCATTATTTAAGATTTTAACTTACTTAAATCAGATATATTCCTAAATCAGTTAATCTGGTATATCGTTTAAATAAATTGCCACAATTATATCAAACAATAAATTCAAAACCCAAAATCTTAAAATTCTTTATATAAACTGAAAAAGTGACACTCAGCTGTTAATGCACAATAGAAAACACGTGTGAAGTTTGCGCAAATTTAATGACCCTTGTCAGATTGGTTTCACGGATTGCCAACTTCAGATTTATTTTGTTATACATAACCTAACTTAATTTAAAATTAAATTATGGATAAATTTTTAAATAAAAACAATTTCGTGGGTAATAAGCAGGCTGTGATAATGGAATGTGATGATAAACAGGTTTTACGTAGTATGAGCTACTCAAAAATGAATGAAATTTGTGATTGTTTGGTGGAATTTTTAAATTTGAACCAATCCTGTGTTGGATTATTTATGAGCCATAATATTTATTTACCATCAATATTAATTAGGTTTGTGGTTATTTTAAAGATTTTACCTCAATCACAATATTTTTGTATTTTAGTCTATACCGAATGAAATCTCCGTTTATATTTTTAAAAGATTTGTCTACTTCAATTGGCTATAATTATGTATTGTCCTTTGAACAAATTAACTGTGATTTATTTACTAAAATTAATGAAGTCAAATTAGAATCTTCAACATTATATTTATGGGAAAAATCAATTAAAACTAGGGAATATGCAGATAAGGACTATATTTTCTGTGTTATACAAAGCTCAGGGACCACTGGAAAAAATAAAGTAATAAGAGTTCCTATAAGCTGTATTGAGGATAATTCAATGCATTTAAGGTAATAATTAGGTAAGGTTTTTTATTATATTAGGTATATTTTATTATAATGATAAATTTATTTTTTGTCCAAATAATATAACCTCGAATATAACTAATAAAGTTACAAAAAATTGTAAGAGACTTCTGATGATCTAAAAGAATGCTAAGAAATTTTTTTCTATTTAAGTTTATAATATATTCATTGAAAAAAAACATGTATAATACAGATACTTACCTACAGATAATAATGTCCAAATATTCAAAACATATATGTTTGGTGTAAATTTTAATATAAAGTTTAACTGGAATACATATTAACAAAATTAAACTCATCAATATTTTTACTTTGTTTTCAGTAAATTATTTAAAATTACAAATAACGACAATATATTCTGGGGTACACCTTTAACTTTTGATCCAAGTCTTTTAGAATTTCTAATAGCAATAGAAAATGTATCTACATTAATTATAGTGCCACCCAAAACGTACCTAAACTCTAATAATTTATTTAAAGCCTTATTTACTTTAAAAACCAAGGAATACAATGGTATATCACTTCTGCAAATAGTACCTTCAGTTTTTAACAGATGGAGTGAAAATCAAATTCAATTTATTCTTAAATCACAATTAAGGATTCTTGCATTTGGGGGAGAATATTTTCCTAAAAATATATTGGAATACAAAAAAAATAATGTGGAGTTGTATAATTTGTATGGTATTTCGGAAGTTTCATGTTGGGCCACAGTAAATAAAGTTACAAGTACTAACATTGAAGATGACATTAGTATAGGAAAAAACATAGGTGATACTATTACAGAAATTAGGAATGAAAATGGAGCAATTTTACAAGATGGTATCGGAGAAATTTTTATTGGTAGCAAAACTAGATTTTGTCTTATAAATGATGAAAATATGACCAACAAAGAAATATTTAGAAACACAGGGGATTTAGGCAGAATAACAAACAATAATATTTATTACTTGGGGCGTAAAAATAATACAATTAAAAGATTTGGTCTAAAAATAAACCTAGAGGAAATAGAAATATTGATAATGAAAGAAATCCATGTTAGAAATAAATGTATATTTATCACAAAAGAAAATAAAATTGTTTGTTTTATTAATATTCCGAATTTTGAGGAATCTGTAAAAATTAAAACTGTTGATAAAATTAGAGTAAAACTGCTTAAAATCTTGCCTAAAGAATTTTATCCTGATTGTATAGATATAATAAACAAGTTACCAATTAACAAACATGGAAAAATAGATTTAAAAAGCCTTGACAACATTTATCATAACAACATTAAAGATCAATTAATAGAAAACGATCCTAGCGATATTTTCATATTTATTGTGTCAAAATATTTAGGTATGGATGTAAATATTACTAAAATTCAAGATTATACATTTGTTGAATTGGGTGGCAATTCTATTAATGTAATACAAGTTTTAAATGAACTGGAGAAATATTTTGGAAGCCAACCTAAAGAAAAATTAACAAATTTAATGTTTGAAGCCCCACTCAATCAAAATATTGAATTTGTAAAAACTTTGAACATTTTAAAAAGAAAGAGTACCTCTTTAAAGACAACCAATTTAAATATAAAACGGATTAAAACGGATTTTAAATTAAAAATATCATGGAAATATAACTTGAAGGCTTGTGTGGATGGCACACCATTGATTTTCAACTTTAAAAATGAAACTTATATTGCCATAGGAAGTTTTTCAAACATATTTGCAGTATTAAATATAAGTGGACAAAAAATATTTGATTTAACTCTTGGAGATGACATTGAAGCTACACCACAATTTTCTGAAAAATACAAATTACTTTATATTGGTTGTTTTGATGGACTTATGTATGGCATAAGCATAAAAGATAAAGCTGTTAAATGGACGTTTAAAACTGAGGAAAGAATAAAAAGTCAACCATGTTTTTGTATGGAAAATAATGCCCTTGTTTTTGGATCATATGATGGGTTTGTTTATTGCGTAGATTCTTTGGTAAGTTGACATAAAATTTACCAAGCGATTTTTCCAAAAATTATTTGTGTTAATTAATTTCCATTCACTGTGTCCAAAGTTATCTGCTATTATAATTCAACTATATTATAATTAGAACTAAAAAGTCGGTTACTGTAGCAAATTGGTGGGCTTTTTAAAAAGAATTTTTAAAATTTAAAAAGAAATTTATTTTGATTAAAAAGGTGAAAACAGGAAAACGATTAAAAGTCGGGTTTCCGATTTTAAAAGACAATTTAATTTTGAACAAAAAATTAAAACTTAAAAATAAACAATTAATAAGCACATTAACTTTCTGATTGTTGTTAAAATAAAGTAATAACTTGGTTATGCATCTATCGGCTCCTCCACCCTTTATTTATCCTAATAACTGGTTTGGCAAAATGTTTTTGTTTGTTTTTATTCTATTAAGTGTCATACTTAATCAATAATAATAATAATAATAATTGGTTACCAAATACAAATGTAATGCGTCTATATATTTTTTTAGAATGGAAATTTACTTTGGAAACAAACTATATCTGAACCAGTGGCCTGCAATCCCATATGCCAGCAAGAAAAAATATACTTGACATTAATAAAGGGGAGTTTCATTGCACTGGAAGAAAAAACGGGCAAAATTCTTTGGACATACTCATTGAAAAGCCCTATTTTCGGATCACCTTCAATTATTGAATCCAAAATAATGTTGGCCAGTGTAACTGGTGTTATACACTGCTTAACAAATACTGGCGAACCTCTTTGTAACTATAAAGTTAATGGCAATATTTTTGGATCCTTGGTTGTTTATGAAAATACGATAATATTTGGTAGTCATGACAATTTCTTGTATAATTTTGAAATTAAAAATAATAAGTTTGTGTTAATAAATAAGCTAAATTTAGGTTTTGCCATATCAAGCACGCCTTATCTTTTTAGTTATCAAAGTAAAAATCTGTTAGTTGCAAGTAATAATAAGGGTAATATACATATAGTTGATTTAGGTTCTTTTGTAAGTTTAATAGATATGTATTTACCTGGAGATTCATTTTCGTCCCCAGTTGTATTTAAGGATAATATATTTATAGGTTGCAGAGATAATAATTTATATTGTTTAAGTTTAGAAAATAGTTGAAAATTATATTAGTGCTATTTATTCCATTATTTTATTTAAAACACGAAAATTTTAGAAAAGATTTAAAAAAGTTATTTATTTACTTTATTATTTAAATCTTAATTTTTGGTCCATAATTAATAACATTTTTACATTTTGTAATACCAATATATTTTGCGAATAAAGTTGGGTTGGGTTGGAAATTTCCAGGGGGGGCAAGTGCCCGAAATTTTGTAGATATGGGCCTCCAGTAGAAAATTCACTTTTAGAGTCTAGATTAGAGTTTCAATATTTGATATTTAATAGTTAAATTTAATAAAAACAAAATATGATATATTTGTTTTGGTTTTTCACGACTTCAACAGATGAAAATAAAAATTACATTTTCTAAATGAAAAATATTTTTTTATGTAGATAAACCTATATTAATTGCATACCCTATTATATTTCTACACCTAAGTTGGAAGGGATTAAAAATAAAAATTTTATTTTATACTGTTTAAATTTTGGTTTATTTTGTTCCATCACATAATACAGTATCAAGTGTGCCAGTATCACCATAATAATAATAATAATTAAAATTTTCATGCATCTAATAAAACGTAAAGCTATATTTAATTACACATTTTCACAAAATTCAGTTGCATCTTAATTACGACAAATTCCGATTCGCAAAATAACAAATTTGAATAAAGCAATGTCTTTTGGGTATCAAATTTAAACCCTATTAGCGATATTGTGTAACTCTGTTGTGGAAAATCGATGTAGTAGTTTTGTTTTTATTGATACTGGTAAAAAACGCGCGTTTTCTTTACAGAGTAACACGATATCAACACCTATAAAAATGGTTTGGTACTAATTTTTACATAAAGGGGCCATTAAATAGTACAATAATTATACTAATTAACGATAGTATCCCGCGAAATAATGTTATAAAAATAAAGTAAAAAAGTTGCACATAGATTACCTACATAACATTTTTTTACACTTACATTTCACCTATGTAGGCCAAAATAGGTTTTAAACGGCTGCGATCATTGATTGCTTACACATTGATATATCGTATAGCGTTGTAGGGGGGTGGGTAAGTGTAAAAACTATAAAAGAAAGAATCTTACAAATTTACTGTTCTTCATCGCCCAATTCGTGCTTGATTTTGGAGAAGTCGAACTCTTCGCCGGTGCCTCGCTTGAAGATGTCCAAGACGTCTTGGCAGGTGGTCTCGAAGTGAGATGTAGCGTCATAAGATTGAGAAATGAACAATTGCGAGTTGATACCGTCGTCGGTCGGTTCGTAGTAGTCTGATACCGAAACGAACTTTTGACGGATCGGCCCCAACAAGTCGAGACCCGGCTTGATTTCCGCTTCCGGGTTTTCGGTCTCCACGGTGGTTGAGACCATGGCGACGAACCAACCTTTAGCTGCTACCTAAATAAACAAATGTTTGGTTTTAAGAGGGACCCTTAGCCACTTGGTAAGAAAGATAACATTTAATAGTATATTATGTATCAAGTTTGATAAACGCGAGTGCGAGTGCTTAAATTAATGAGTGCCTAGAAAAGTTTATAAACGAGTTGCACACTATACCTTTTCTACGACAAATACTTAATATCTAAAAATTATTTAAAATAAACATTTGTATAAAGCGACATCTATAAGAAAATAAAGTAACCATCCCAATAAACATTTTTGACGTAATTTTCACCATTAACATTGCCCATCATTATTTTAATTAAACTTAACAATAATAATAATAATATTTTGCAATTAAAGTACTAAAAAAATCAATGGATAACATATTTTCTTAACACAATCATATTTTAAAGTTATTTTAATATTTTAAAGTATCAATAATTGTATAATTATTATACAATTATTGATACTTTAAAATATTAAAATAACTTTAAAAAAGGATTGTGTTAAGAAAATATTTTACCCATTGATTTTTTTAGTACTTTAATTGCACAATATTATCACAAAGTTAAAGGTACAAAAAGTTATTGGAATTCCCGTTGGAATTTCTAACTTGGTAATCTACCGGCGTTAAAATCTTAAATTTTTCTGTGTAAATCAAAATTTATTCCTTGAAAAAAGAGTAACAATCGATATAGAAGCAGTAAAAGAGAAAATAATGTTTTATGGGTACTGTACGCAAAATTTTTAACGCTCTATCAGTTAAATATCATTATCTGCACTACTAAGGCGAAATTAAAGTACAAACGTTCATATAATCATTTTAAATATTGGCGTCAAGAAACTATTGTACTGTAATTTTCGTATTGAGATAATAAAATAATTTTTACATTTTACAAGAAATACACTTCATTTTAACGATTGTATGACATTTGAGGAGCATCCGTGCAAAACCGGCTATATCCACTTTAATAAAATGTTGGGAAAATGGCAAAAACTCTCGGTTTACTGGCCTTTACAGATAAAAGAAAAAGCAAACTTGAGTTTTGTGGGCTTTGTGGTACTTGATTTATAAGACATACTTTCGTTTTCAAAAACTTTATATTAAGGCCAAAATTTCAAAAAATGTTTAGTATATTGCCGGTTTTGCCATATTGCATGACGTCATAAACCTACACCAGTGTCAGAAATCAAGATGTCAACAAATAATAAACACCGATAAAGTTTATGTTTAACATGGAAAACGCAAAAACAAAAATTGGTTGTAAATATTGTTTTGTGCCTTGTTGTACAAATACAACCTGGAAAACTCCTGGGAAAGTTGTCCCTTCAATTATCAAAAGCAAAGTTTATGACCCTACACTGAGAGCCGTTACGGCTCAGCCGTATTTTCTTGAGTTTATTATTATTTAACATACCTATTCCAACCATATACCTAGTAAACGACATTATATTTTACTTACATTACATTAAAATGATCCTCGCAGCAATAAAATGTTGAGTGCGGTGACGATGTTTTGATATCGCGCCGAGCTATTTTAATCCACTTTATCCTTATTTTCCCTTTTGGCACGGTGATAAACCTTTTCCCAGGAGTTTTCCAGGTTGTATTTGTACAACAAGGCACAAAACAATATTTACAACCAATTTTTGGTTTCGCGTTTTTCATGTTAAACATAAACTTTATCGGTGTTTATTATTTGTTGACATCTTGATTTCTGACACTGGTGTAGGTTTATGACGCATGCAAATGGCGGGAGTTCGTGAACGTTTGAAAAGTACCTTTTTTCAATTTGATATTTTGGGGCCGGGTTGAACTTTTGGAATATAAAAAAGTATTTTCGCAATGTGTTTTTACCTCTAGATTACATTAAAAAGGTTTTTAGGGATTTTCATTTTTGATGCAATTACTCTATTGTTTAACTATGAAATAAGAGTTAAAGTTTAGCTCTTTTATTTAAAGTTATAATGAATGAATGATTCGCTTTTGCAATTTGATTTTGAATGATTTACAAACATTTTTAAACTTTTTACCAAACAATTTGTTATTAAATTAAAAAAGAATAATTCAATGGGCCCTTTGATTCTAACTAAAAAAAAATATATAGTAAAAAGTTGTTACCTGGTGGGTGTGGCTGACCAAGGACACGTAAATGTCAGAGTTCCTGTTGACCTGCTTCTGCGGAATGATGATCTGCGTGGACAGCGCGTCCTTGGTGTTGGGTATCGGGTGATCCATAAGACAGATGCACCTGACAACCTTGCCCTTCTTGCGTACACGGTCGGGCACGTAGCTCGGGTCGCAGAATACCTGCTTGCACTTGGCCACCTCGTCGCCGGAACGCACGCCGATCACTCGGCCGCCCTCGCCGAACACGATCTCGTCGATAGCTTTGTCCAGCATGTAGGTGCCGCCGTAGATGGCCGACAAACGGGCGAAACCTAACGAAAACATTTATTTGAACTTTTGTGGTTCTATAGGTTTGTTCGACTTATACAATTCTGAACTGCTTAAAGATTGCGCAGAACTGTAGTCGCAGTAGTTTTAGGTTCTAAACCGTTCTGGATTTTTAGTAAAATATTCAAAAACCAAAACGCTTACGGTGGTTTTCAAAATCCCATGTAGGTGTCGCTTGTACGAAGTTTGCAGTTAGACATTTAAGAATAATGAATTTAAAATTGTTTTTTATATTGTTATAAGATTTTGTTTATGTATTATATTGCTATAAAAATAATTTAGTTACTCATGTACTTAAAATGTTACATGGGAGAGTGGAAGATCGGCTTTGCCGAACTCTTGCCAATTGTGAAATGTACCTTCTTTCTTTTCACAATAAACATTATTATTATTATGAGTCTGAACCAAAATAAAAGCACCTAACCAAAAGGCATTGATTAAATCACTCAACGCTATAAGTATATAAACATAAATTAAAACGTGAGAGTCCAATGCGCAGGCGCCACGAAAACCGTTCTATAAAGCAACTGGGGCCGGGCCTCACATGTTAAAATTATAATATAATTTGAAATTTTCGATACATTACTTATTTAAATATAAAACGTTTTAAAACTTATTTCCAGTCATTAAAAGTATCAAAACATAGAAAAAAATAAATAAAATATTTCCTTTAAATTTAGCGCGCACCCCTTCCAACTTTAATTCTAAACGCTTACATCATTGCCCGACCGCATAATAGGGAAATAGTAATCCCACATACTGAGTAATCCCATAAATTTGCGCTTCATATACGTCACACATTGCCGATAGCGCAAGGCGGGGATAATACGCGAATTTTTGTAGACATTGAGGCCCACAAAGTTGGGCTTGTACCACAGTATATGGAAGACAGCAGTCAGTCCCGAGATCTGTGCGGCTCGCTTATCAGCCATGTAAAAGACTGGGCGGGCGTGGAATGTTTTAGTAAACAAAGCTTATTAATTAGATCTATGCGTGTTTATAGTTTCTTATTTCTGTTTAGTCTTTGCCTTAGCGTTAAAATGGAGAGTTGTGATAAAAATGCAAGCGTAAAATACATTATTGTGTTGTGAATTCATATAAAAATAATTCAAATAATTATAAAAGATCATTTTTATTTTATTATATTATTATATTAACCCACAAATACCACAGTAAAAATTACAAAAAATATAAATAAAAATATTCATGTTTTTTTTATAGTTCAGTGTTAAATATACCTACTGTGCTGTACATTATTATTTTATTGTTGTGCGGTTGTGTCTTATTAATCTAAAAATAATTATTGTAAGATAGGTAAAAATGAGCAGAACCTCCTGGGTAATGTGGAAACCTGCTTAAGGAATAAATAAAAATCCCACCTCGTCCCGCACTTTTTGTATTATTCTAGCTAAATTTTGAAAATTCTTCTCGTGAAAGAACATATTTTTAAATAATATATTTTTATTATTTAGATTCTGAAGTGCTCCAAAAACGCGACACTTTGAAAATTTTAAAAAAATTGCCTGCGGTGTCATATAGCGGTTGATGGGCCTCACCTTCATGAATGGTCACGAGCCGCCACTGCTCTGAGCTCGTATTATTTTGAACGGTTCTGGACTAATACTGAATCGTCCACAAAAGAATCCAAAACACGATATTCACCAATTTCGTAATGCGCATGATTCTGACAGTTCTTAACCGTTCATTTCGCGAACCAGAACAAACCTTATTTCCCAGTTTTAAGTCAATCGGAGTAAAACTCCAGTCCATCGTTTTTCAACCTGGGGGTCGCGTTAACAAATATAGGGGGTCGCAATGTATTAAAAAAATAAGACCTGTTATGAAACATACTTTTAGAAAAGTATTTAATTTAAATTAAAAGCAAGTGTTTGTCGGCCAAGTGGGATGAAAATTTACATGAATGTGTGTTTACATGTAACACTATTTTTTTTTAAATTATTTGAGAATCGCTGATTTGTTTTCCAATTTTTAAAAGCTATTTGAATAGATTTGTAGTTTCTTTTCTTTAGATTAACCGACCTTGTAGCTAATAAATAAAAAAGATACAAATGCATAGAAGAATACTTGGTGCAAATGTAATTTTTGCATACAACCCAAATGTTCTTTATAGTCTTAAAAGTTTGAACACTATAATCATTCCATTATACTAAAAATTGTAGAAATAGCATATTATATAAGAGATAATGCAGGCAATTAAGATGAGGTTTACCGCCAGGCGAGAGATTTAAAACATCCATGCTTTTTTACCCCTATTGCATAATTTTCATTGGAAAAATAAAAAAAAGTAGTAATTAAAAAGTAAGATGTGATCTTTTGACAGATGACAGATTTTATTTAGTATGCCAGGAGCAACTATGATGTTTTTGGAATTGCAACAACCTGATTGGTCGCAATCACAAATAAACATTGAAAATGGCCAATATCTGATGACTAACAACGTGAATAATGAGTTCATTATTTCCGTTGTCAGGTGATAATAGTTATTATTATGTAGGAAAAAACAAATAGTTTCAATATTATGAAATAGAAGTAGAAAGATTTGTTTTTTACCTTTGAAACCGATGCATCGCGATGTAGGGTTTAAAAGTATAGGGAAAAACCGGAAAAATGGGGGAAAACCCGTTTTTTTCGTTTTCCCAGGCCTTGGCCTTGGGAAAATTTGATTGTTTTTTTGGAAAATATACACATTTTAATAAAAGAAGCAATCAACAACTAAACATTATTTTAATTTCAAAAACTTTACTTTATTACAGAAAAAAAACAAATAAAACTAAATCGCAGTAGATATTCAAATCGGCCAATCACTGATGCCTAACAAAGTCAATGAGTTCATTAATCCCGTAGTTTGGCGGGGCGGTAATTGTTATCATTATATACGGAAAAACAATATTATGCAATAAAAACTGAAATCATTATTATAAGATAACTCACGAGTTTTAATTAAGCACGATCACAAGTGTTAATAATAAACAAGTTTGTAGAGAAGTTTATAAAACGAATTGCATACTATACTTTTCTACGACGAACACAAAGATACATTTTTCACAAGGAGGGCACTTTATTTTGACAGATTGTACTACAAGTGAAAACTAACTTAAAGCTAACTTCAGCCCGTGACTAAAACGCACAGCTGGGTTGCAGATATACAGGGGCTTGAAATTTTTCTTTTTCTTTTGTGAGAGATTTTGGTTGATAAAAAAAATATAAATTACTCTTTTTTAAATCGACAAATAATACATCCTATATCTTTTTTTCGTGCTTTAAGATAGAGGTTGTTTGAAAAGCGAAAGAAAATTTTTTGGCTTAGAAAAATTGATATAAAAAATATTTTTACTTTTTTCTCAAAATGGGACCATTTTGATTTTTTTTTAATAAGTACTAAAAAAAGCCTATTCTTTTCCCTAAATTTTGATACTACTTCTTTTTCGGCCGGAACGAAGAATGGTATTTTTGTGACTCCTTTTGCAGCACTAAATCGCTGTTTTAAAAATTGAGCTGCTCTAATATCCTAAATCCTAATATCCTACAATTTAGGCCTTGCCTAGTCAAATTAAAAATGAATAAAATTCACACATTATTTATCATACTTTAAATAGGATTAAATTACGCGAATACGTATGTTATGGTATGTAGTAATTATTAGTTTAATAAAATAAAATAAGTGTGAACAAGATTATTGTTAATGTATAAAATAATAAAATATAATATTGTATAATTAATAAATTATCCCCATTTATGGTAAAGAGGCAACAAATAATACCCAAAAAATGTCAAGCCTTTGTATATCTGCAACCTGTCAGTCTTTTCCACTGCCCTTTTGCTTAATTAAAGTGGTCCGATACAATGATTTAGCAAAGTTTCATCAAAATCGGAAACCACTTAAGTTTTTAGTGGGAACACTTGGCGTGTTTTGCCCCATATAAAAAATCACGTCATGAAAATATATCCGATAATGTTTTAAACATGGGAGTAGAAAGTAGTTTAATAAACAGCATTTTAGTTTTAATTAAAACGAATTGCATACTTAAATTTCTATGAGAAACACAAAAATTAAATAATTTTAAATAATAAATAAAACTTAGTCGCTTAATTTTGACAATTGTATGACATTTAACTACTGTTAACCAGTGTTACCAGATTCTGTCAAAAAAGGACCAAACATTTCGTTCGAATTTACCTTAATTACAAAATGACACAATGAAACAATGCAAATAAATGCAATTATATCAAGTTATTTAATATTGTCCATTGAGTCATTTTTGTAATTAAGGTAAATTCGAACGAAACGTACGGTCTTTTTTTGACAGAATCTGGTAACACTGCTATTAACTAACTTGTGAATGTGTATTTAAAAGATCACTTGTGAGTAGAAAAATATTATAATAACTTACCTTGGGGTAATTCTCCCAAACCATACATAGGATACAGGTATGGCGATTTTCCGTACCTGGCCAAAGAATCAGAATACAACTTGATTCGGTTGATAGTTTCAATTGCTGGCCTATTTAGGTAATCGTCATCCCTGTAAAGGGCCAAAGCATGACCAGTAAAATCCTAAAAAACACATTGATACATTTTAATTTAAAGAATGGTTTTTCAGATTATTACTTGAGTATTTCTGTCGAGACCAAACTTGTCATAAAGTCCTTGCATGTTTGCAATGTTGGGATCAAAGTCCTTCCAGGTTCTGGGATCTTGGTCCTGGAAATCCTGGACGTAGATCAAGAAGTTGCGGAATCTACGTTTCTCAAACATTCCCATCAGATCCGAGGCGAGGGCTTCTTTTTGATCTACAGGGACCTAAAATCAAATGAAATAGTTAATTTTATTAGGATCAAAAAATACTCATCCCACAAGCTTTACGGATGTATATAATTTTATATCAAAAACTAAAAATATTTACCAAAAATTTATAAAATACAGAATATTTTACCTTTATATTGTACAATGTAAAGTCTTACAAGAAAACCATATTTTGAATAGTTTCTAATGTTGTTTTTTCTTAAGGAAAAAATCATAATATTATTTAACTAAAGTGGGTTACTATTATTATATTAGTCACTGACAATTCTGATGTCACAGCCTGTCTATATTATTAAACTCAATTTGAATTTATTAACTCGAATATAAATGAATAACAGTTTAAAAATAATATTAAAAAAATAGTACTTCACCTTTGAAATTTTGCCCCCCTTGTAGACATAACTGCCTTCTACAGATTTAAACTCTAGGTATCTTGTTACGCCAGTGTGGATCAAAAGTTTTACAAGAGATCCATTGGCCATCAAGAATTTTGGAATAAGATCCACATTCCAATCTCTGCCTCTTCCGTATGTCTCGTCTGGATTTGGAGCATTGAATTTAGTAAACAGATCCTCCAAAGGACAGATTGAAGCAGATTCACCTTAAAAATGCATTTGTTAATTAGGTACAAATATCCAAATTAATTAACTGAGTTTTATTTTATTAATAATGTATAATGTTAATGACTTAATTTATGTTAAATGTTAATTTAATCCAAAGAAGAAATATTTTCAGAAAATTTGTCTTCAAAATTTAAACAATTGTCGAAATAATTAGGCAATGGGTTTAAAAATTGATAAAGTACCTACATCTTTCCTAAGAAAAAAAATTATATTTTTAAAATTTTTTGAACTCCAATGAAGCAAATTTAAAAATTAAAATTTAACCCTAACATAACATTTTTTAACTATCAAACCTATGAAGTAAAAATTTGTTTTTTAAAAATGTTAAGATATTTTTTCATTACATACAGGGTTCATAAATATTGCGCAAAAAAATAGCACGGTGGGATTTTAGGTTGCAAAATTTACCTACGTAAATTTTCTTGTTTTAGGTAAGTGGTGGTAAAATTATTTAATTAACTATTGTATAAAATTTCATTAAACAGGATTTTTATGATTTAAAAATTTAGAAAACTGAAGAACATATCTTGTATCTTGTGCAATTTAATATTTACCATAGTTTATAGACAAATTTCAAATTTCATTTAAAAAATACAAATTATACAGATTTTTTACCATTTTAAATTTTTAATATTTTTTTTCCACTAATTGTTGTCAATTAGAACAATAACAAACATTATACAAAGGTTTAAAACAAATGGTTATTTTTAAGAAGTTTGATTATTGGTTTTGTTTTAAGAGAATTGATTTATTTATTTTAATTTGTTTTCAAGATAAATATTTTATTTTAGTTTTTAAATAGATTTTTTTATGTTTAATGTTTCTTTATAAGAAAACACTTTTAGTTAAATGCAAAACAAATAATAATTTTATACCTTAAATTAATAAATAAACTTCGACTAACACTCAACGCCGGTGAAGGGTCTACTGCTAAATTACGAAAACCGACTCTCGGCGTTTCCACTCTTAAAAACCGAATGCGGCCCACATGTAAAAAAGACAAACTTTTACGTTAATTGAAACCACTAATTTACACCACTATTACAAGGTTCTGAGAAAGGTTTTATAGTTTTAAATAATTAATATAATTGTCAATTGTATTAATAATTATTATAATTAAAGTAAAGCCAAGGTGTCATTAAATCAATATTTTTTAAATACCAAGCACAAATTTGTTGCCCACTTATATTAGGTACAGTAACCCGAATTGAGGCAGTGGATTGCAGAACGACGCTGGACAATAATAAAATGATCAAGATCCCTAGACTGGGCCAAAAAAATCAACTATTTTTTTTTGGAAAAGTATTATCGAAAATATGGTTTGGGGTGACAAAAAAAATTATTGTGAAAGTTTGAGTCCATAATATTTATATTAAGAGGTCTATCATCGCAATTTTAATATTTTTTTCCTCAGCAAGTTTTTGTCTCAGAACTCCCAAACCATTGAGTTTAACAAAATTGACTCGAAAATATTTTTTTAAGAAAATTAAAAGCTACAAAAAATGTTAAAGTGAAATTTTCCGTCAGATGAACCGTTTCCTTAAAATCATGCCTTAAAAATTGGTATACTTTTACATTTTGAATTTTGTAAAAATCAGTACCGATAAATATTCTTATGGGAAATCAAATGCTTTACAAAAAAAGCCTCCAACATTTTTGGCTAAATTCACTCAATCAAAAGTTATTCAAGGTTAAAATTTCGTTTTGATTTCAAATTAACATTGAATAACTTTTGATGGAGTGAATTTAGACAAAAATGATAAAGGACTTTTTTTGTAGAGCATTTGATTTCCCATAAGAATATTTATGGATTTTTTTCAGGGTAGGTACTGATTTTTACATGAATTACAAAATTCCAAAGATCAAATTGTAAAACTATACCAATTTTTAAGGCATGATTGTAAGAAAACGGTTCATCTGACGGGAAATACAAAAACTCGCACAGAAAAAAAAATCTAAAATTGCGATGATAGACCTCTTAATATTAATATTATGGACTCAAACTTTCACCATATTTTTTTTGTCACCCCCAACAATATTTTCGATATAGTAAAAAATAGTCGATTTTTTTGGCCCAGTCTAATGATCCCCATATGATACCTTAACATATAAGCACAATTTTTTAATTGAATTTTAAATGGACAGTTGATGATTTCATGGCGTGAACTTATGTGCAGCGTCGGTTCTGCAATCCACTGCCTCAATTTTTGGCAAAAACATAAAAATATCTTTAGTATTATAAAACCAATCCTTTAAACTTAATTTTTTTTCAGATTTTTATAAAAATCTTGTTTCGTTTTTCTTCTTTTCGAAATACTAGGCAGCTTAAATTTAGGTTACATTTTCGGAATCGAAATCGGAAAATATTCTGACAGTTTTTTATGGCTTTCATCAAATTTTAAAATTAAATAAAATACCAAATTTGTGAAAAAAATATACGCGTTAATTGTCATTGTAGCCAAGCTAATAAAAAAATTACCAGTTAATTTGGGCTACCCTACTTGAATTGAATACAAGTAGAGCCCGGATTTTAGTTACTTTTGGTTTTTTAGGTTTTAAAGTGGAGTCGTCTGACCAAGTTTTATTTTACCTAATATAACTATTTTAAACTTTTTTACTTTTTTTAACCTAAATTTTCCTACTTTCTCCTAAAAGGTTCTTTTTTACTATTAGGCGCCTAGGCATATTGCCTAGTTTACTTTTTGACCAAAATTGCAATTTAAAAAGAAATTAAAATCCTTTGATCCAGCTTTAAAAATTAATGCTGAAGACGGACATTAGAGACCGGTCTATCTTCAAGTATTTGCTAACATCATGTGAATTAAATGCTCATTTTCTTGGTTTAAGAATGTGTTGACTGACAAACGCACTAGGTTCACTTCTTACTTGAAACAATATTTTGTCTTATAACGTTTAGTGAAGAATTATATATACAGTGCGTCCACGGATGGACCTAACTATACTTGTAATAGTTATTTATGTATCAAGGCAGTAAAGTCGTATTTTTTATCACGAATGTTGAAATTACGCGAGTGATAAAAAATGACTTTAATGCCGAGGTGCATATTAAATGTTATCCGAAATCACATTTAATAATTAATATTGATGATTAAATCAAATGTCATTTGAATGTAGGAAGTGTCTACGTATACTGTTTGTTGCGACGGTTATTATATATTTGCCCGCCGCGGCGATTTTTTAATCTAATTAATAAAATTAACTTATTATTTTTTTTAAACAACATTTTATGAAAGGGTCCAATCGAGGATCCAATCGACCTCCGCGACGGTGCTTTTTTAAAATATTATTTAGTTGCTGCTGAGGAGCAGTAGACACATCTTAAAATGTATAATGGGTTGCATACAATACTCGTATTAAATCGGCAGTAAAGTTCTACTTTACTGCCGATTGTTGAATACTTTACTGCCGATTTCGGATAAAAATATTTATTTTCAATTTTTCGAGGAAAAGTCATTTTTTATAATTTCTTTTGCTTGTTATATAAATTCAATTCGCGTTGAGAAACATCCATTTTGTTGTATAGGGTGAGCAAAAACACTGATTTTCAAAATTTAAATTTTTTAAATAATTTTTTTAGAAGCGCTAAAATAAAGAGAAACTAAAGTCAAATGAAGTTTTTTCATATGAGTTTTTGATACTAAGATATTTGATATTGAAAATTTAAGAAATTAGTTTTCAAATTTTAACAAATAATTGTAGACATTGTAGACATGTCACTTGAAAGCAACAACCTAAATGACACAAAATAATATGACCACTCAAGTTAGGACCTAAATTGATTTTATTTTTAATAACAAATATCTTAGTAACAACAACTCACATGAAAAAACTTCATTTGGCTTTTTGGTTTCTCGTTACAACCGCTTTATATAAGACCTTCAAAAAAAATCTACAATTGTATTTTTTTTGCGCACCCTGTATAAGAAAATAGAAGTTTCTCATTGTGAATGGTATTTATATAAAAAGCAGAAGAAATTATGAGGAGCGACTTTTGTATAGTATAATATAATACTGTATAGTTAAGCCAATCTGTGGACACACTGTTATTATTCTTTAATTGCACATTTTTGTGTAGTTGTTATTAATATTGTAAAAAACTTTACATCAATAATAATAATTATTATTATTATAATTACCAATAACTTTTTTATTAAAATCAAATCCTTTCATGCCCAATAGATTTAGTTACAAAACAATTATAATGTAAAAAAATGCAAAATTAATAAATCAACCGATTTTAATTTTTTTTATTCATCTAAAATTTAGGTAGATGCCTACCTAAAATATTAACCTAATTTTATAATGATGTCACCTAATTTAGTTACATTTTTAATAACCTAAAAGCAAAATAAACCTTCTGTGCTAAAAGTCTGGGCCTTAATTATAGGTCAAAAAATCCAATTAAATTTCAAAGTGTAAAAAAAAGAAACAAATAATTGCTCAAACATGTTTACTGCACAATATATTATGCATATATGCATATTATGCATTTAATTCCAAAATTAAGTTATAAAGAGGAAACATTTTGTTTGTGCAGAGATTATGTTTCAATTTCTCGGAAAAATTAATTTTTACTTAATTATTTTTCCTACTTCTTTTCAAAATCCAAAAACACAAAAAACTTTGTCAGGGAAATATTTAAAAAATGTTTTTTAAGGTTTAAGGAAAAATCATTAAAAATATATCAAAAATAATGTTTCCTTTTCTCCTTCTCCTTTGTTGTTACATGGTACTGTATTTATTATAAAAAAAACCCAAATAAGAAGCTCTATTATAGAGCCCTATAGGGCTACTAGTATACTACAAAGAGAAATAATATATCCGAATATATCATTTTAAAAGATGATACAAATTTCAGTATACCCTATTATTTAAATGACACAGCAGCATTAATGAAAATTCTTAGAAAAACGCTTAAAAGAACATGCTTGAGTGGTTAATTGGATGTCAACACAATAACTTGCAATCTACTATTCGCCACAGATCTTTTTCTACAGTTTTTTCACCGAAATAATTCCTACTTACCACCATAGTATTTATTCCTATCAACATGTAATACTTTTTTGCCGGACACAGACAACATTCCACTGAGAATGCACTCTTTCAGGCCGGTGCCCAAAACGATCGCATCGTATTCTTCATCCATGATCGACTTTTATTTATTTAATACGGCTAAAAATCCAACAAACTAGAATATACGAAATACCGATTGACTTTTGCAGCCCACTATCGAAGAAGTGATACGTCACTGAAATGACAGCGGTTTGCCAACTCAACAATCGCGAATGTCACTAACGGTAATTTAACAGGCACGAACTCGATACATTTTAAAACGATAATTTCGCCACAACACACAACTTTTTATTAATTTGTTGCAAATATATTTGTGTTTAAAATTGTTAAAAGCATAATTTGTTTGGTTTTAATGGTTTTAAAATCTTATAAAGCATGCTAACAAGGAAATCAATAGTAAATCACAGCAATCTTTCATGTACGGTCCTGCGCTTCAAAAGAAATCAATAATTACAATCACCTATTTTGCTTTAATTTTACAGTTTAATAATGTTTTATATTGTTAATGTATTAACGAGAGTTAAGGAAATATTGTTTTAAAGATTAATTTAAAATATTTAATTGCCACATGGTAACATTTAATTTAAGTTGGTAGAAATGATTTTTGACAGATCGTCAAGTACCCTCGGAATATGTATGGTAATGTTGCCAATTCGTAAACAATGTACCTGTTTCTGGGAAAACAAAATTCTATTGATCTTTATCAAAAATGGTTTTTTACTGTTAGTCTAATAGCAAAATATTAAAAAATTATTATCCAATGTAAATTATAGTAAACATAGCTATGTTTACTAGGTTCCTATTTTAAAATTAAAAATTTATTTTGTAAACCATAATAGAAAATTTATTTAAAACTACATATGAGACATTCTTTTACATATCGTACGGATTACAGAAAACATATTTTTTCAAATTTTTAAAATGACTCAATTTTTTTTACAGCATCTTTTCATAAATTTAGCCGACCGGAATTTTTGCAGAAAATTTATTTTTCCAAAGATATATTGATTTAAACTTTTGATAAAATTTGAAAAAATGCTGAATTCTTTTGTACTTAAAATCTTCGGTTCTACTGGATCGATTTCATTTTTTTTTATTTTAAACCATATTACATAGTCTTTTTAGATAAATATTTAAAAAGTTTGTGTTTTTTGTTTATTATATGAAAAAAATATTTTTTTTGTATAAACAGATTTTTTGTGTTTGCCCCCTCTATGAAAAAAAATGAAAAAAATGGAGACTTTTTTGGATCGGAAGATATTAAATATTTTCGAGCGCGTGACCGGTACAAGCCGTAAGGGGGCATCCATTAATTACGTGAGGCGTTTAGGGGAGGGAGGGGGTCAAGCCAAATCTCATCAATTCTCACGTAAGGGAGAGGGGGGGTCTTGGCAAATATCACGTAATTTTTAACAAAGTATGTTTTTTTTAATAAATCCAACAGAATCAAGCAGTTTAACGTAGGTATAAACATTAAAAATAAGCATTTTTTAAAATTTCACGTGAGATTAGGGGGAGGGGGTTGAGCCAAATCTCACGACATCTCAGCAAGGGGGGAGGGGGTCAAAAAATCGCTCAAATTGACTCACGTAATTAATGGACACCCCCTAATCAGACATCTTCGAAACGCTAACACATTTAGGATAGTGTGAACTCATACATCGTTTTAAAAAAATACCAGCGCTTTTTGTAAATTAATTCTGATTTTCAATAATTTTAAATAAATTAAATTTTAAATAATACAAACTCCAATTAATGAGTAAATTTATTAACTGGCAGAATTGACATTTGCACAAATAAGTCACCAATTAAAAGATGTCGAATCATGGCACTCTTATACAAAATATCACGTCACCCGCCACATGCACTAATACGTTTGAAAATTACGCGCTTGACAGTCCTGTCACGCGCTCGAAAATGTTTAATATCTTCCGATCCAAAAGAGTCTCCACTGTTCTGAAAAATGTATTTTGTAGATAAAGAAAAAGCGCATAAAATAGTATTTTTTTCCTTTTATTTTATAGAGGGGGCAAACATGAAAAACTAGTTTAAAAAATTAATCTGTTATTAACTCCCTATACTTAAAAAAATAATAATTTTAATTTATTTATTTGAAAAGCCTATTCAATAAGGTTTAAAACAAAAAAAAACAAAATCGATCCGATCAGTAGAACCGGAGATAATGGGTTTTATGTAGAAGAGAATTCATCATTTTATCGCAATTCATAAAAACTTTATATCAACATATCTCTGAAAAAACAATTTTTTTACAGAAAACCTGATACACGTATCTGCTTATTTACTGAATAGAAGCGGTAAAAAAATTTTCATGCGAATCCAAACCCTGAAGTCAAAATAGGTGTACGATTTGTAAAAGAATGTCTCATATACCTAGGTATAGGAAGCAATAATGTAAAAAAATTGTAAAATACAGTGAGATATAAAGTTATAGGTAGGTAGGTAGTTGTTTGTAAATTTTTTGGAAAACATATGATATCAGATCCAGAATGCGCGGTAAATTATCATATATTATCATACATTATCACATATATGTACCTACAAAAGAATTACATTTTAAATAAAAGCAGGTTTAGAAATAACTGCAATATTATAAAAAATATGTTAAGGGGCAAAATTGTATGCACCCCAATGGATCCGCTGCTGATTATTATATTTTTTACCACACAATTTTCAATACGCAAAACACAACCAAAAATATAATGTTCTTGACTACCACTTACAGTGAAGAACACTTTAATCTTCGTTGTTGATTGCGTTTGAAATTTTTTTTCGTCCGTGTGGGGATATTTGTCGGCGACGGTTGGCAACACTGTCGCATGGCGTTTCGTCAGTTGGTTGGTCGAAAGAAACAGTTCATAAAGAACGGAAATACGGGAACAACGTGTGTGTTCTTATTTTAAAGTTTTATTTTCGCGTATTTATGGTTTTTAATACGGCATGGAACTCTGTAAACAAAGTTAAGTGAAACGGTGATATTTATTTGAATGGTTCAAGTTATGAGAAAAAAGATTGTTATTAGTGCAGAATCCACAAGTATCTTGCGTTCATCTTTGGATCACTGTTATTGTGAACTGGAGGAAATTTATAAATAGAATTTTATTAATGGGAGTTAGGAGATTTGTTATTACAGGTAAGCTATCTCAGTAATTAAAAATAAGTTTTTATTTTATTTAAGTATCCGAGTTATCTTAAAATTACTTTGTTTTGGATAAGGCATATGTATTGTTTTCTTTTTTAATAGAAAAACGGTTTATTTATTACGCTTCTAACTTAAAATATATTCAACTAGGTAGATAGGTAAGATAGGTAATTTTATTTTAGTTTAAAAATAAACCTTCAGATACAGGTAAACTTATGTTTGTTAAAAGCATTTTTAAAGATTTAAAGTCAAGGTAAATTCTCTTTGTGATGACAAATTATAAACATGCAGTTAGTTGGTTATTATACAGGGTGTTAGGTAAATAAATAAGTTGTGTGTACTTTGGCATTTAATATGTCAGAAAAGCTAAATCTTGCTACAGGGGTTAAGGTAAAATATTGTTCAAAATAGACCTATACACCTATGTAGGTACCCAAAGATTGTTGGTGTACCTGCTAATATATAAATAATATGTATTTTTACTTTTTATTAATAAAAGTTGCGTACTTACCTTTGGATGTTTTTAAATTTGCTAAGAAATTAAATGCAATTTAAAATTCATTAAAATTGCTCCCAGTAATACCTACAATATTAATTACTGTAGTCAAAAATAGATATATTGGCTTTAACCAGTTAATTTTGAAATAATTAAAAACAAATTACTTTGGTCAACCTAATTGTTGTATAGTTAACAATATGTATGAGGTTTAGTAGGTTTATACAGGGTGTCATATAATAAGTTATTCCTTGGGGGAATGATAGTTCACGCCAAAGTAAGCAAGTTTTTTCTTTAACACTTTTGTATTAGTGCTACTCTCGGTGCTACCGTTTTTAAATAAAAAAATCATGCAAATTAACATAATTCTTAGGCATTTGTTTGGCACGACACTGGATTCGTTTAAACCATGACCCACCTAACGGTTGGGGTCGACGGACTAAGTAGAATCGGCCACTGGCTGTCCATAAAATTACGATAATTTTTAAGATTTTTTTATATTCAATAAACTATCATCCCACCTAACTTATTACATGACACCCTGTAAGCAGACATCGATAAACCGGCTTATCAATCTCAGGTCAGTTTGTCCATCTGACAGTTAAATTCCATATCGATTGTTGTGAGAACAATGGTTCCATGGAAATTATCTGCCAGATAACTAACTGCAACTTTAACTGGACATTGATAAACCGGCTCTAAGTATAGTAACTATAGTAGTACCATTTTAACACATGGTTAGTAATAAATAGTAATGCCTTTATACATAATGCATAAATAAATCAGTATTTTATTTATATTGTTATTTTGTGTCCTGGCAGTAAGTATGCTTGCTAAACCTGATCTTGACCCAGATTGCCAAAGAAATTCTATAACATCACAACGAGTGTGATAATAATATCCGTTAAAATATCTGTAGGAGTTTTAATTATTATAATAATTATAATATAATTTTAAGTTTCTGAATCATTAAATTTTATTGTGTAAAGTATTAAGCGATTGTATAATTTAATGGCATTTTGGTATTGAAATAACTAACTGTATATCACACTGTAGGGGGATATTTTGAATAGGTATACAAAAAGGTACCAACAATTTTTTTGACGGGTTAAAAAAAATTTTCTAGGATTTTTTCATTTAAATGTTTTGAGTAGGTATACCTATAGGTGTATATCCAGGTGTATATATATTAATATTAGTTAATCTTAAAACTGAATAATGTTTTAAAATACCTAATAAAGTTTAATGCAAAGAAAATATAGGATATTTAAATTTTAATATATTAGGGTCCCTATAGGGTCCCTATATACCTAAATACTTATTTAGTTTTTTTTTGTAAATTATCTACCACAGAATTAATTTAAAACCGTTCTTTGAATACAAAATGTTATATTTCCAAGAATTAAAGCGCAATTGAAAAAACAGTAGGTGTTGAAAGTGTCCTATAGGGATTCGCTAATATATTAGGGAACTTTTTTTTAGACCATTTACCTATCTTTGGAAATATATTCTCTTTGACTGCATAGGTAGGAGTAGATAATCCTTAGGCGATTTGCCACTATATAGATAACCCTTGGACCTTTTAATAATTATATAGATGACAACATTTGAGGGGTTTGAGCCATAAGATCCAAAGAGCCCATTGACACCTAAACTAAGGACATTTCCAGTATTAACATGCATTTAACCCTGAATTTTTTACATACATGTATGTAATTATGGAAAATTTCGTATTTTTTTATGCGATAACTTATCATTGATATTTTGTTATTAACTTTATTTGGAAAGGAATTTAATGGGTTTAAAAGCATAAACACATGTTAAGAATGAAAATAATTAATACATACTAGGTATATAATAGTTATATGGATATAAATTAATTAATTAAAAATCTTATTGCATATATAAAACATCATGTAATGTATGAGGGTGACCCTCAGAGGGTCATTAAAATATGACGCATCCATGTTCTTCTTTTGATACTTTAAAAAACCTGCTTATCATCCTGTGAGCGCATAGTACCTACCTAGTCCATTAAGAAAAAATACTTTCTATTTTTTTTAAAGTAAATTGTTTAATATAATTTGAGTTCATTAAAAACAAAAGTAAAAAATCATGAGAATGCGCCATTCTAATAGTACATCTCACTAATATTTGATTAATGTTTAAGTATATGGGGCATTCCACCCCAAATCGGACACAATTTTAGTACTGGTTGAGACTAACGAATAACCAAAAACATAAAACTTCAAACAAAAATATTATCAGACCAGACTCGTTGTATCATTAGCAGAGCATGGGAAACCATCAGAAGATAGCAACAGTTTTATTGCTTCACGGGACAAAGATTTGCTCTTTTTCGAAGCAATTTTTCTGAAGCTAGAAATATACGGATCGGAAGATGCCATAAGCCAATGGAAAACATCTTCCATCGTTTTCTCCCACAGAAACTTTCAAAATTTATTTATAAAATTTGAATATAACAGATTTTATACCGAGTATTTTAAATTTGTATTATTTCTTTTACTGAATATTTTAGCTACGATTTCTTAATTCGCTAAAAAAATTGTCAACACAAATAACCACAATTCAAATTTGACATTAACACACTACAATGCGCATGCGGAGTTGTTTTAACGCACCTACAAGAGGTGGGTTAAATACTCGGTTAAATATGTAAAATCGTGTTATCTTAGTAGTCACGAACTATTTACGCAAGTGCGCTGTTGTAATAAACGTTTTGAGTTAAATCCGAGTGAATCTAGTAAACGTCATGAACGCAACCCAAAAATAAAAAAAAATTTATATTTTGTAAAGCAAAAACACAGATACGCGCTCGACATAGGCGAGGTTTTTTAGCACAACCGTGCCTGAGCGCCCAAGAACATGTAGTTTTAAAGAGCCGGGGGCAAGTTGGGGCAGATAATTTATTGATGGCTTGATAGACAAAACTCTAAGCTATTCAACAGATCTTGAACTGATGCCTTACAATTCATTACAATTTTTGTAGCTCCATTGTTCTAAAAGCTCGATTCAAAGTTTGCGATTTTAACAGACCGATCTTGTCGGTTACAATAACCCGTTGTACAAGCAAAATCTACGAAAAACAAATACATATCTGAATTTTAGATACCTTGAAGATAACCCTTCATCAAACCGCATAACAATCGGACACACCAAACACAAGTTCACTTTTAAACAATAAACAATTTTCCGCAGCGATCGCGTGTAAAGTAGCTTCAACTGAAATCGTCAAGTTTAAACTAACGTACAAAACAAAATATACGTATTTTATATAATTTTTTTTCAATACAGGATGGAGACAGGTATTATCTACTCATCTAACTCAAAATTTACCTGAAAAAAATGTCAATTTTTGAGGTTTTGCCGATATTTTCCAGAATTGAAACACTGTGCGCCTCAATTTTTTGTTTTTATTTTATGAATTTACATTACGAAATAATACAATGAGGCATTAAAAAACATTATTATTTAATTTTACATTAATATTTTAGATTATTTACCCATCCTCATTATCCTTTTGCTACGGTAATATAGTATAATAATATGGAAATTAAATAAAAAAAAAACAAAACATGCAAAAGCAAAATTGTGCAGGCTTAAGTCAAAGAAATATTAATAATTGATTTAGAGGTTGGACATCAATACTTTACAACTAAATATCTGATACATATTTATATGACTCTCGTAAATTTAAACATAAGTTTCATCTGGAAATTTTCCCAATAAACAATCAAAGTGCACAAAAACAATGTAAGTATAGACGTCTATAAAAGTAAATTTATCTCTCGAACTAAACATGCATTTTAGGAATCATCGTCGCTATTCAAAATAAACTCAAGTTCGAGATTTTGTTATAATTTTTAATATTCTTCGATGTGGTCATACGGTTTAAAAATAGTTGACGCATTGTACTAATATGCCAGATGTGCGTTCGAAACTCGAAATATAATTGATTGTTCGAATCAAAATTAGTAGCACTATTAAAACTTACATTTGCAGAGAATAGTTTACATCTGTTTAATTTATCATTGTTTGGAAGCGAGTTTGGAAGGTAACACGTGTATAAAATTGTTAAAATTTTTGTTTTGTTTAGGTATTTTTATTGTTAACCAAATTAACGTATTTTTGCTAATAAAATATATATTATAATAAAAATAAATTATTTTTGTTAATAAAATCAGATAAATATAATTTACAGTGTCAAAGAGGGAAGACTTTTACAAGGGCGCTTCCATAAATCATTAAAAAAACAGTTTTTAAAACAAAAGTGCGTAATAAACTAAGTGTCACTACATGTGCAGAAGAAAACATTGCGCCGGCTTTTGAAGGACACAAACATATTTATAAGGGTGATTCTACAAAAGTTGGACAACTTGATGTCATCAGTCAATAGAGTAGGTATTTTAATATTTTTTGTAAATATTTTAGTATATTACAAAAGATCCAACCAATTTTAATGTATTTTTTCAAA